GTAGCGTTGATCAGTGGAGATTTAATGTTACTTTAATTACTCAACAGTTTTACTGTTTTGCTCAATAAAATATTTTACAACCGCCTTTATGCAAATAGCCACAAACCATCCTTGTATCCCCTTGCACATCTGCATCGTTGGTGTGGCTTGCTGAGTACGGTGGTTGTACTCAGTCTTGCTATTATTCCCCCTTTTCAGAAGTGTAGTGCTTCTGAGCTGAAGATGGAGTTAGAGGACCAAGGCTCAGACCCCAGTTGAGTTTTGCCTGTGGAGTGGAGCTGAAGCCCCGCTAGGATCACCTTTTTCCTCTGCTGTCGTTCTGTTTCGGTGTGAGGACTAAGTGCCTCTTCCGTAAGTACTTTACGCTTTATTTACGTTTGGAACTGTATATTACTTGTCGTTTTGTGTACCCTGGCTGGTCCTGGACAGGGATTTAATACGCAAAATAGTCTGGAAATTTGGGTTAAATTTCTGGGCGTGACACCAGCTCCCGCCTTGCCCACCCCTTGACGAAGGGGGCGTGCGGTGGCTTCGTGGTTGAGCGGTGGAGTTGGGCTCGCCTCAACGGGGATTAGGAAACCGGCAAGTTTTCGAACCTCGGTGAAAAATTCCTTGTCTCTTGTCTCATTTATTTGTTGTATTTATATTTGTTCTATTTACATTCATAGAGACATATTTGAGCCCATATCACCTAGGTTTGCAAAACTTAACTTAGTTGCTTAGTTAACCTTGCACCTTACCTTGCCTAGCAACTTAGGTTAGTTTTGTTTAAGTGCCACTAAGTTTTAAAACCGCCTATTCACCCCCCCTCTAGTCGGCCTCCTTGATCCTACACCCGGGCGCCGCCGCCCGACGATGGCCACTATCACCGCCTCGCCGTCTCCCACCACGACTCCCGTTGCAGCCACCGATGTCGAGACACCGGTGCCTACTAGATCCTCTCGTCACCCCGCTGGCCACTACCACGGCCTCCCGCGGCGGAGACCGCCGCTGAGCTGCCGGATTTGCGCAGCCGCTGTGTTGTCTTGCCGATCCGGGAGGTGGAGCCAAAGGCAGCAATAGCAATGCCCAGGTTGAGCTCCGCCGATTTCGACAAGGGGAGCGAGGTCTCCGTCTCCTCCCTTTGGACCAACGGCGACGAGAGGAGCCAACTCGTCGGCGGCGACGGCAGTGGCGGCGATTCGACGACCCATCCCGGCGAACCGTGCCCCCCGCGCTTGCCGTGGCAAGCGAACCCTCCCCGCGGGCGCCGCGGCCGGCGAGCCCCTTCCTCGCGGCACGCGCCCGCATCCTCCGGCGGTCCCCATCCCTCTCGCGCGCTTCGGCACCTCCCCTGGCCGTGCCCTGTCCAGGGAGAGAGAAGGGAGAGGAGAGAGGAGAGTGGAGGAGGAAGAATAGAAATGACACTTACATGTGGGCCCTCACGTAATATTTTAATTTTTTTTCGATGACTAGGCTGCCACGTCAGCAAAACCACCGTCAAAAACCACCGAGGGAGTTGTTTTGTACTGGTTTTAACACTTGGGGGAGGTAATATATCCGGTTTTCCGGTTGGAGGATGTTATTCAGACAAGCACAAGATGAGGGAGGTTAAATGGACTTATTCCTAAACAAAACACCGAGGAGCCGGCCTTTTACTGGCTGCCATGTCATTACATGGGCTGGGCTTCATACTGATCCTGGGCCTTAGTAGCAAATGCTGCTTCCAACTTCCAGTATGCTTTTGGCACAGAAATCCATCGTTCTATTAAAAAAGAATCATCACCTTCTCGTTCTCTTCCTTCCCTGGCCTTTCCTCTCTTCAGCAGAAGAATCTGTATCTGGTCTGCAGGATGCAATTGGCTGATGCACATTTACTCAGCTATATACTTAAAGTTGACGAGCATCAAGCTGTATTCTTATTTATTTTGACGTGGAAACATGGCCGTACACATATTCTTTTCTCTTAATATGCCTACAGTTTCCGGCGCTGTGCCTGTCTTGCGAAGTTGCAAACTTGCAATGCAGACGGGCAGTGTACTTCGGTGAGAAGCAAGTACTAGTATGCCTTTCTGCAACCACCAATCCCAACGGTAGTTGCGCATCCTGAATTGGCACACTACGCGCATCACCGTGTTTATCTTTAAACTTCCAACTTTTCTATCATATCACGTACAAACTTTTAATTTTTACGTCGTATCATTTCAATTTTAATCAAACTTTTAATTTTGATGTGAACTAAACAAAATAAAAAACGGAAGACAAAAAAAAATCAAGGGCAAAAACGACACATTATTGTCGTCAATTCACCATCAATTGCGTGTCCGTCGCCACAGCGATGGGAAAAGCAAAGCAACCAAAGCATTCTCAATTTCTCATCAGTCATCAGCATGTTGGTATTCTTGCTGCTCTCAGCAAAAGTCCCAGCATCTTGGCATTCTTTTGCTGCGCGCGGCACAAGTGTCCACCTCGGCAATTATCTGATCGCATCAGGCCATGATCCTCCTCCCATCTATCCCGTCCTCAACTGCATTTTCCTTCCACATTTAAATCACCCCCTTTTTCCCTTGTGGCCATTTAAGGCCTCGCATCGGTACATATCATTAAGTACAAGACGAATCTGCTCCGGTGTCAGATCAAGTGAAAATAAAAGCCTCCTTGGCGTTGCCCTGCTTCTGCTTGTAGACAGACCATGGCATGTGAGGCATTTCACATGTGTGTATACGATAGACTGTTGAGTAGGGTAAGTACGTATTCAGTTTAGTTTTAGCCCGCCTGATAAGGTTGAAGTTTGCGAACTGCAACTCTGCAACCAGCCATTTCAGTTTGCAAGAATGTCCCACGTACTGATGTTAGATTATTTATGGCTTTGTGATGCAAAAACTGATCCCACCCTGGATTAACCAAGTAGTATTATCATGGTTATAGATACCATATACCTAATAGTAGATGACTAAGCACGACAGGCCCAACCATATATTAAGTCTTATACGGAATCATATCTCGTATATAGAAAGAGTTCCGGATAAGGAATGATAAGTAGAGTTCTATATGGAAACGACAAGTACTACTCGAATTGTATCCATATTGGTCTCTCTAGTTTTAATTGAACAAGAGGATATCTATTGGTATAAATACAAGACCCCCTAGGAGGAGGGGGAGAGACCAACAAGACACAACAACAGATTGACACACAATACACAAGCCAACACACGCCGCTAGACATTAACATCAGGGATAAGCCTAGACAAGTAGACAGACCCTGTATGGTGCATGCGGAGGCCGACAAGAGGGATTTAGCGCCATTTCTGATCTCGATGAGTTCGTACTCGAGGAGAAAGACTACCATGTCGTTGACTACGTGTTGGTTATCTATGCCACCAAGTCGACGACAGCTAGATAAGTTATCCCAAATATTGTACTTGTCCAACAGGAGCAACACCGAATTCGGCCAACAGGAGTAGGGCTATTACATGTCCGATAAGGGGCTCGAACCTGTATAAAATCCTTGTCTTTGTCTCTTTTACCTTAATCTCGCATATTCCCTGGTACCGACGATCCCCATACCATGCAAATACTATAGTCGTGACCTAAACCGTTGACATGTATCATTATATCTCGCCTAGATACCTCTTCATTCCTTTTGGTCATCTTACTACAGGGTAAAATCATACACGAGCTTTGGTGTGTTGCGTTGGAGAGACATGTTGAAAGTGGGGAATAAAGGGCCGTGATCTCTGACTCTAACAATTTGTTTTTTTTCAATAGAAGTGACCTATAACAGTACGGTATATGGGTACGAACAACTGCATAGCCGCAGATTTGTGTGTCAAGCCAATTTTGCTCTCGACTACACCGCTACTCTTGACCAAATCAAAGAGGTACTAACAATTAGAGGTGGACATAAAACTCATGGCTCGTTAGCTCGCTCGACTCGGCTCATTTAAATTTCGTAACAGGCCGAGCTGACTTTTAAGCTCGTTAGAGATAACGAGCTAGCTAGCTCGCGAGCTGCTTGCGAGCCTTAACGAGCTAGGACTCCTAGAGACTAGAGTAAAGACCCAGCCCAACAGACAACAGCCAAGGCCCAAGCCCAACTCCTCCGGCGGCTGAGGAGAGAAAACCCTAAACTCCTCACCGCATCCACACCGCATCTCTCTCTGCTGCTCTCGATCCCCTTTCTGTTGTATCCGCACTTCCGAGTGCGCCGCTGCTAGGGCCGCCGCCGCTGCCGCACTTCCCCTTTCTGCTAGCGCCGGCGTCACCTCTCCTCTCCTCTCATGTTGCCGGCGCCAGTCACTCCCCTCTCCTCACGTGTTGCTAGCGCCGATGTCACCTCTCGCCGCCTGCATCCGGCCGTCCTTATTCACCAAAGGAGCGCCGCCTACACCGCCCCTGTCGGGCGCCACCCCGTGCCACACACCGCCCAGCCATATGCAGTTGTTCGTACCCGTAATTAACCACAAGCTCACTTGCCCTTTACCGTCAACGCTAGCCCACCGCCCTCCTTCTTCCCTGTGGCTCTAGTGCCTCGTCTTTTGTCCATCTCCACCATCCACTGTCAAGCCATCGTATCTCCTGGCCAGATCTGTAAGCATAGTAATCTCCTCCCCGCACCCTAGATCGTAACTCTAATGTCGTTTGTCGGGATCATAGGGCACGAATTGTAAAGCAAATACTAAGATCAGTAATCTGAAAAAAAAATGAACTCCTAAGAATCAATGTCGAATGTGATTTAACAATTCCGCTAATATTAACTGTTCAGCCATTCATTCAGTACTAGGATCCCACAGGTAAACTCACGGCAGTTAATTTTTGGGGATTTGCCAAAGCATTGATTTTTCGAGTCAAATCCAACAACAGCATTTGGACAAACGCTCTTTACTGCAGCACTAACTTGCTCAGCACCCATTACTGCGAGGGCCTGAGCTAGCCAGTAGCCAGCACAAGGCGAGTCAAACCTCGCGCACCACATTAACCATCTACTCCAACCAACCCCACCCGTCGATGAGTCTCAGTTTGCTTTCTCTACCACTACCACCACGCGACGCGGCCGGTTGCTCGCTGCTGCCACGGCTAAAACGCGGGCTAAATTACGGCCGCCACCATTCCAGCGACGACAGCGAGTGAAGTGAACTGGAGGAGCTGTACCACTGTGTACTCCTAGTCTTTAAAGCCTCAGCTCGCGCGCGGCCGGCCACCACCTCCCCCCACGCAGGCGCCACACAGCGTCTTGGCTCACCCGCACACGCGATCTTGTTGGTAGCGAGTCGGAGAAGATGAGCTCGCCGGTGCATGGCGTGCAGGAGCATCGGCAGAGCGGCGGCGGCGAGAAGAAGGCGGAGCAGGGAGAGAAGGAGGCGGCGGCGAAGGTGGAGAAGGTGCCGTTCCTGAAGCTGTTCTCGTTCGCCGACCGGTGGGACTACGTGCTGATGGCGGTGGGGTCGCTGGGCGCGTGCGCGCACGGCGCCTCCGTCCCCGTCTTCTTCATCTTCTTCGGCAAGCTCATCAACATCATCGGCCTCGCCTACCTCTTCCCCACCACCGTCTCCGGCCGCGTCGCCAAGGTACACTAGCTAGTAACACATCCCGATCCACCCATTGAGCATGCACTGCACCGTGCATGTCACACTCTGTTTGCTTGCTCACCTTGTCTCCCCGTGCATGCAGTACTCGCTGGACTTCGTGTACCTCGGCATCGTCATACTCTTCTCGTCGTGGACCGGTGAGCCCTGATGCATGCGTAGATTTCGAGACGCGAGCGATGCAATGCGCGCGGTGGTTGGTTGATTGGTGGCTCTCGTGTGCGTGCAGAGGTGGCGTGCTGGATGCACACGGGGGAGCGGCAGGCGGCGAAGATGCGCCAGGCGTACCTCCGGTCGATGCTGGACCAGGACATTGCCGTCTTCGACACCGAGGCCTCCACCGGCGAGGTCATCAACGCCATCACCAGCGACATCCTCGTCGTCCAGGACGCCATCTCCGAGAAGGTACACACACTTCTACTCACCCCCGCGTAACATAACATCACCATGCACACGCCACGCGCGTGTAACAAACATGCAACCCGCGCGCGTTGCTTTTTTTCTCGCCGCGGCATCGCGTACGCACGCGACGCCGTGCCGGCCGTTCACGTGAAGCGAAAGGGGAAAAAGAAAATCCCAAACTGAGAAGCGATCGGAGAGGAGAGGATTAACGACGGCCGGTAGACAGGGAAGCAAACGTAGGACGGTCGGGTGAGTAGATAGGGCGGGGCGGCGCCGGGAAGTTATTAGGGTTGGTGAGGGGCATTGAAGGCGTTGCGGGCAGTAGTAGATCGTTCACAGTCTTCGCCTCTCGATCTGGCCTGGATGCGCTCATCCACTCAACTCTGTAGTAACTGCGAAACAGTACTAGGAGTAGATATGAGTACTCGCTGATTGATTCGAGTTAACTCCGTTGAATTCATCTCTATCAATTGGGATGCACATCAATCCAACAACCACTCGAATCCACCCAATGGGATCCCGTACATTTGTCCAGTCTTTTACGTTTTCTCCATTTGAGTTCAGTGCAGGGGAGAGTGATCCTCTGCCTTTGCCAACTCTGCCGTTCAGAAGCCAGGACTCCGGAGTGGCGGAGACGCGGAGTGATTGGTAATTTGGTACGTGTAGTGTCTGCAGTAATTTGCCATATTACTTCTTCCATTCCATATAAAAAAACAACCTACTCCCTCCGTCCCATAATATAAGAGATTTTAAGTTTTTGCTTTCACTGTTTGACCACTCGTCTTATTAAAAAAAAAATTGTGTAAATATAAAAAATAAAAAGTTGTGCTTAAAGTACTTTGGATAATAAAGTAAGTCAAAAATAAATAAAATAATAATTCCAAACTTTTTTGAATAAGACGAGTGGTCAAACAGTGTAAACAAAAACTTAAAATCCCTTATATTATGGGACGGAGGGAGTAGCAAATATGATACATTCTAGTATGACAAATCTAAATATGTCTCCTTCTATCATATAAAATCCTAATCTAATATCAGATATGACACTTCTTAGTATTATATATATATATATATATATATATATATATATATATATAGATAGATAGAATCCGTCGTATTAGAATACGTCACATTCGGTACTAGATTGATTTTTTAATGAGATGGAAGAAATAGACATCTAAGCAATTTATATATAGGAGATTTGTAGGATGTGACTGTTTCTAGTAAGGCGGGATGTATGTAGTCAAATGATCCACGTATGTGATACATTTTCTTCAACAAATTTTATTAAGAAAAAAGAGAAATTAGAATATTTTACAACAAATGTGATTGTTGGTAGTTAGATTTCTGAGCGATCCAACCAGGACAAGCCGATCAAAATTCTGCTATAAAGCTGGGCAGCTCATGGCCCATAACCTACCACCTCGCTACCCATGATCTTTGAATCTATTTGATGACGACACCTCCAAATTCAGCCGCTCGCCATGCATGCCCACCACTCTGCCATAATGCCATAGCATGCTCGTGCATTCCTCTCCTTCCAAACACACGAGTGATTTTTTTCCTTAATAATAAAAATAGTTTACATCTCCAACATGCACATAGCATCCCGCTGCTCATGTGATAGTATTAAATATCAAGTATGAAACCAACTAGTGTGAAAGGGCATCTAGCCTAGGTATTGTAGTGACCTAAGTAGCACCTAAGGTCATGAGTTCAAATCTTCGTAAGAGTGAATTTCATATTGGTTTATTTAAGGGCTAAGTTTCTTGTTTGTGGTCCTGAGTTTAAATCTCTATAGAACCAAATTTCAGATCGGTTATTTGATGGCTAAGTTTCAATTGGATGTAAAAGCTGCGTAAAAAATACTCTTCTCTATATAAAAAATAAAGCCAACTAGTAGACGTAAAGATAATCTTCCTAGATTAGCTAATTTCTTATCATTTCAATATCGTTAAATTGACCAACATAAAACTCTGTCTTCAAATAAAATTATTATTTTTGGGACCGCTCGGATTTATCTTTTCGGTTAGCTCCTCCATGGCATCTGGCAGCAGGAGATATACAGGCACGGCTGGGTCCTCTTCCAGACCTGTCTTGTGTAGCTACAACTGATGAAAAGATGATGGCGTGTCTCCGGGTCTTCAGCACAAAGGGGGCAGCTTCGTCGATGATTTTGTTTTTTGAAAGACCTTGGTGTGATTTTCTTTCTCAAGCCAATCATAAATTCATAATGGTACTGAATATCTACCAGAACTAATGGCCGGTAAGCATGAATGGCATGTGGTTATGTACATTGATCTTCTCGTGTTATGATCTAAGGAGAGAAAAAAACGAAAATGATGAATATTATAAATTATCTTAGGCCTGTTATCGAATGGAGGATTCTCCATTTTAATGAGAATCGAACCAATTCCTATTAAAATCCTGTAAAAATGTTGGGCAATTTTTATAGGACTGTCACATGAAGTAGTTCATTTCCCATAAAAATCCTCTTAAATTCCCATGAAATGAATTGCATATCCTGATATCCACCCAACTGTAGCAGCTTTATGTCACTGGTGGAGAAGTGTTTTTTAGTCCCGGTTCGTAACCCCCCTACAGTCCCGGTTTTCAAACCGGGACTACCAATCCGGGACTAAAGATCGCTATCTTTAGTCCCGGGTGAAAAAACCGGGACTAAAGATCGATCTTTAGTCCCGGTTGATGACACCAACCGGGACTAAAGATTTAGTCCCGGTTGGTGTTATCAACCGGGACTAAAGAGAGGGTAGCGGCAGTCCATCAGCTAGTCCTTTTTTCTTTTTTATTTTCTCACGAATCGAGTGGTATGCATATCATCAAATCAAACCCCAAATCCACATCACAACTCCACAGCACGATTCACAGATTCACCACAAATTCATTCACAATATCCATTCACATATTCATTCATAACATCACAAATATATTCACAATATTGATTCAAAGGTTCATTGACAACATCGAGTCACATACTCATTCACAACATCACAGATTCATTCACAATATCGATTCATAGATTTATTCACAGATCAAAACATCCAAACCACAAATTAAAAAAAATCAAAAAAAAATCGACTCACCTGCCGGCCTCCCATCCCGCCGCCGGCCAGCCACCCATCTCGCCGCTTCCCCTCCGGCCGGATCTGGGGGAGGGGAGGGCGAGGCCGCCGGCGACCGGCCTCCATCCCGCCGGCCCACGCCGGGCCGCCGCCGCCCGTCCTCCATCCCGCTGGCCCGCGCCCGGCCGCAATCCCGCCACCGCCGGCCGGCCGCCGCCAGCCCCAGCCCGCGCCTGGCCGCCGCCAGCCCGCGCCCGGCCGCCTCCATCCCGCCACCGCCGGCCGGCCGCCGCCAGCCCGCGCCCGTCCCCCATCCCGCCGCCGTCGGCTGCCTCTGCAAGAGGAAGAGGGGGAGGGGAGGAGGAGAGGGGGTGAGAGAAGAGGAAGGGGAGAGGATGGAGATAAGGAAGGAGAAGAAAAAGAGATAAGGATGGGAGATAGAGAGAGAGAGGGGCTACGCATGCGCTTGTGCGTGGGCTGGTGCGTACGCTTTATTCCCGGTTGATATTATCAACCGGGAGTAAAGATCCCTGGGATCTTTAGTCCCGGTTGGTAACACCAACCGGGACTAAAGATCCTATCTTTAGTCCCGGTTGGTGTTATCAACCGGGACTAAAGATATCGGGGGGCCTGACAAGGCCTAACAGATTTAGAACCGGGACTAAAGATCATTTTTAGTCCCGGTTGGTAACACCAACCGAGACTAAAGATCAAATATGCCCGCTGTAGCCACCAACCGGGACTAAAGATCATCTTTAGTCCCGGTTTTTAGTGGAACCGAGACTATTGTGGATTTCGGGCGACCGACCAAAGATGGTTTCTCCACCAGTGTGTGTACTCTGGTTCATTTTTGTGCCAGTTGTAAACGATGTTGGTTCAAATGTTCCTGTCGAAAACAAGATGAAATTTAAAGAAAACAGTAGTACTATCTATACTGTGCCTCATCCTACATTTAAAGTGCTGTTTGTAACTACTACTAATTCACATATACTAACAGTACTAGCACTTGGGGAGTATTTTTCCCCTGAAGTAGCTGTCGCATATTCTAGTAGCTGTCCCTGAAGTATCGGTGAAAAAAAAATGAGTTTTGGTGATAATAATCTCACAGGATTGGCATAAAACACGCAATAAATGATTGTCTTGAGCCACCGTCTTTTTGGATAGAGCATAACCTGCATATGGCATCCAAGTGGTTATTTAAGGGATCTGATACTATGTTGCCTGACTTGTCTATCAGTAACACTAACTTTTTGCGACCACTCCAGCTAATGGAGCCAGCTAATTCGTAAACATTATACTCTCACAAATGCTACACCTAGTGTTTGTTTGAATTCTAAGTCATCACCGTAACTGGTATCGTCTGAGCTAATTAAATCATATACTCTAAATGAAAATGAGTACACAAAGGCCTTGTAGACGGCACACTTAACCAGTTCCAATTCATCCAGATCCTCACTGGCGTACTGTTCGCTGCTAATCAGTACCAACCTCTTAATTTCCTGAGCAATAGGTGAAAATGATTGTTACGATTCACTAAACAAGAATGCTGAAAACGCCCTTCTTAAGCTATCATTGAAGGAGGAGTACATCGTTTGATTGGAAAGGCTAAGCTACTGTCGTAGATCTCGACTTCTCTGAAATGAACCAGTGGAGAGGAACAAGTTGTTTCCATCTTTGCAAGCATGGTTCTTTTCGTCCCAACTGCCAACTGAACTGCGAACCATTTTCTGGGGTCTCAACATGTGAATTCTAGTTTGGTCTACAGTAATGCAGGTGGGGTATTTGCGCAATAAGCATCTTGCTTGTTCTTTGTACAATTGTAATACTATTGGAACATTTGCACGATGTACGGTTGCCCCACACGGAGAGATGGAGGATGGTTGCTGCCACTGGAAAAATTATTATTCCTTCCGTTCCCAGAACCCTCCGTCTTAAAGACAAGGGATATTAGCTTTTACATGGTCTCCAACATTATACTTCAAAAGCTTTTCTATATTTTGGACAAAGAAATTACTCCCTCCGTTTCTAAATATTTGTCACCGTTGATTTTTTAGCACATGTTTGACCATTCGTCTTATTCAAAAACTTTTGTAAAATATATAAAACTATATGTATACATATAACTATATTTAACAATGAATTAAATGATAAGAAAATAATTAATAATTACTTAAATTTTTTGAATAAGACGAACGGTCAAACATATTTAAAAAAGTCAACGGCGTCAAATATTTAGAAATGGAGGGAGTACTCGCCAATGGACACTATTTATATTTATATTACTTAAAGTTTTATTGACTATCTTTTTTAAAAAAATAAATACTTAAAAATACCGTATTGTTCAAGTGTGTTGCATCCTAACCATAATTATTATTATTTTTATCGTAGTCTAACCTTTTTTTTAGAAGGGTACAACTCAGGACGCACACTAACACACACTAGGAATGTGCACGTTTCTAACGCACACTAACACACACTAGGAGGAAACATGCAGTCCCACTGAACGCGCGCGCGTGTACCCTATACCTAGTCGGGACCAAGCGAAGTCAGTCCGGGGAAACGGAAAAAACCCCTGGTGAGACACGCGATTTGCGATCCCAGGATCAAACCCGCGCGGGCTACTCGCTCACCTGGCGACGCTAGCCAACCGAGCAATGGCGACGCTAGCCAACCGAGCAACGCTCGGTTCTCCGTAGTCTAACCATTTAAAAGGTGTCGCTTAGCTCACTCCTGGTTTGGACGGCCCAGCTCTCTGAAAAGGCTGCAGGACTACTCTTGCCTGTATCGTCCGTACATACCTCGAGGCCCAATATAGGCCCTTTTTCTTAAGCCCAGTAAGCCCAATTCCAGAATTCCAAATCGCAGTGCTGCGTTGGAACTTGGAACTTGAAGGGCCGAAGGGGGACGAGCGATCCAGTGCGCTGTCACGTGTCACGTGTGTGCTTGGCGCTGACGAGCTGCGTTGTTCTTGTGCAGGTGGGCAATTTCATGCACTACATCAGCCGGTTCCTGGCCGGCTTCGCCATCGGCTTCTCGCAGGTGTGGCAGATCAGCCTCGTCACCCTCGCCATCGTCCCGCTCATCGCCATCGCCGGCGGCATCTACGCCTACGTCACCATCGGCCTCATGGCGCGCGTCCGCAAGTCCTACGTCAAGGCCGGCGAGATCGCCGAGGAGGTCCGTCCATCGATCGTGCCCCTCTCAATGGACTTCTCCCAGCACGAGGACGTACGTACACGTACTGATGACGCCGCCGTAGGTGTGGTGTGCAGGTGATCGGCAACGTGCGGACGGTGCAGGCGTTCGTCGGCGAGGAGAAGGCAGTGAGGACGTACCGGGAGGCGCTGCTGAGGACGTACAAGTACGGCAAGAGGGGCGGCCTCGCCAAGGGTCTCGGCCTCGGCTCCATGCACTCGGTGCTCTTCCTCTCCTGGGCGCTGCTCATCTGGTTCACCAGCGTCGTCGTCCACAAGAACATCTCCAACGGCGGCGAGTCCTTCACCACCATGCTCAACGTCGTCATCGCCGGCCTGTGAGTCTGCAACCCTGGCGTGTTTGTGTCAGCGAATGCACACGCCCATGGCGCCCGTGCATAATTTGGTCGCAATATGTGTCGTGCAGGTCGCTCGGGCAGGCGGCGCCCAACATATCGACGTTCCTCCGGGCGAGGACAGCGGCGTACCCGATCTTCCAGATGATCGAGAGGAACACCGTCAACAAGGCGAGCTCCAAGGCCGGCCGCACGCTGCCGTCGGTCGACGGCCACATCCAGTTCCGCGACGTGCGGTTCGCGTACCCGTCACGGCCGGACGTCGTCATCCTCGACAGGTTCAGCCTGGACTTCCCGGCGGGCAAGATCGTCGCGCTCGTCGGCGGGAGTGGCTCCGGCAAGAGCACCGTGGTCTCGCTCATCGAGCGGTTCTACGAGCCTCTCACGGGCGCGGTACTGCTCGACGGCCACGACATCAAGGACCTCGACGTGAAGTGGCTGCGCCAGCAGATTGGCCTCGTCAACCAGGAACCCGCGCTGTTCGCCACGAGCATCCGGGAGAACATACTCTACGGCAAGGGGGACGCCAGCATGGATGAGATCAACCACGCGGCGAAGCTGTCGGAGGCGATCACCTTCATCAACCACCTCCCCGACCGGTACGAGACGCAGGTCGGCGAGCGCGGGATACAGCTCTCCGGCGGACAGAAGCAGCGGATCGCGATCTCGAGGGCGATACTGAAGAACCCGTCGATACTGCTCCTCGACGAGGCGACGAGCGCGCTCGACGCCGAGTCCGAGAAGAGCGTGCAGGAGGCGCTGGACCGCGTCATGGTCGGCCGCACCACCGTGGTGATCGCGCACCGGCTGTCCACCATCCGGAACGCCGACACGATCGCCGTCGTGGACAGCGGCAGGATCGTCGAGACCGGCACGCACGAGCAGCTGATGGCGAACCCTCGCAGCGCCTACGCCTCGCTGATCCAGCTGCAGGAAGCAGCTCAGCTCCAGAACAAGCAATCTTTCTCCGACAGCGCCAGCCTCAGCCGACCACTAAGGTATGTGTACGTGAACGTGAACGTGACGACGTCGTGTCAAGTTCCGACCGGCCACCGCGAGCTAACGACCATGGCTTTTGCGTGCTGCTAGCTCCAAGTATTCGAGGGAGCTATCGAGGACGAGCATGGGTGGGAGCTTCCGCTCAGAGAAGGACTCGGTTAGCCGGTACGGCACCGTGGAGGCGCACGACGAAGGAGGGCACAAGAGCAAGCCGGTGTCGATGAAGAAGCTCTACTCCATGATACGGCCGGACTGGTTCTTCGGCGTGTCGGGCACCGTCAGCGCCTTCGTCGCCGGCTCGCAGATGCCGCTGTTCGCGCTCGGCGTCACACAGGCGCTCGTGTCCTACTACATGGGGTGGGAGACCACGAAGCGGGAGGTGCGCAAGATCGCGGTGCTCTTCTGCTGCGGGGCCGTGCTCACCGTGGTGTTCCACGCGATCGAGCACCTCAGCTTCGGCATCATGGGGGAGCGGCTCACGCTGCGCGTCCGGGAGAGGATGTTCGCGGCCATCCTCCGGAACGAGATCGGGTGGTTCGACGACACCAGCCACACGAGCTCGATGCTGTCGTCGCGGCTCGAGACGGACGCCACGCTCGTGCGCACCATCGTCGTCGACCGCTCCACCATCCTGCTGCAGAACATCGGCATGATCGTGACGTCGCTCATCATCGCCTTCATCATCAACTGGCGGATCACTCTCGTCGTTCTCGCCACATACCCCCTCATGGTCAGCGGCCACATCAGCGAGGTAAGCACAGAATCTCGTCAGATGATCCTGGCTGATTCTCGATCAAATTCACAATCTGTGTGTTGTGATGCGACAGAAAATGTTCATGAAAGGCTACGGGGGCAACCTTGGCAAGTCGTATCTGAAAGCCAACATGCTGGCCGCGGAGGCAGTGAGCAACATCCGAACGGTGGCGGCCTTCTGCGCTGAGGAGAAGGTGATAAAGCTCTACGCCGACGAGCTGAAGGAGCCAGCGAAGCAGTCATTCCGGCGAGGCCAGGGCGCCGGGCTCTTCTACGGAGTTTCCCAGTTCTTCCTCTTCTCTTCCTACGCGTTGGCTTTATGGTTAGTGCTACACGAAGTTTGGAACGCGGTGAATAATTCAGTCCAAATTTGTATCAGTAGTAAGATTTGAAAGCTTTGATCGGGATTCAGGTATGGTTCGGAGCTGATGAGCAAGGAGATGGCCAGCTTCAAGTCGGTGATGAAGTCATTCATGGTGCTGATCGTGACGGCGCTGGCCATGGGGGAGACGCTGGCGATGGCGCCGGACATCATCAAGGGGAACCAGATGGTGTCGTCGGTGTTCGAGATCCTGGACAGGAAGACCGACGTCCTGATCGACGCCGGCAACGACGTCAAGAGAGTCGAGGGCGTGATCGAGCTGAGGGGCGTCGAGTTCCGGTACCCGGCGCGGCCCGAGGTGGTGGTGTTCAAGGGCCTCGACCTCCTCATGAAGGCCGGCAAGAGCATGGCGCTCGTCGGCATGAGCGGCTCCGGCAAGAGCACCGTGCTCTCGCTCATCCTCCGCTTCTACGACCCCATCGCCGGGAAAGTCTTGATCGACGGTACGTATCGATCTCACAGCTTCCAAAATGAATTGCTCTGCATATCTCCCGAACGGAATCCGAATTCTGAACTCGTATGGCTTTGATGCGATTCTTTGCAGGGAAGGACATCAGGAAGGTGAAGCTCAAGTCGCTGAGGAAGCACATCGGCCTGGTGCAGCAAGAGCCGGCGCTGTTCGCGACGACCATCTACGACAACATCCTCTACGGGAAAGACGGCGCGACGGAGGCGGAGGTGGTCGACGCGGCGAAGCTGGCGAACGCGCACTCCTTCATCAGCGCGCTGCCGGAGGGCTACCGGACGAGAGTCGGGGAGCGCGGCGTGCAGCTCTCCGGCGGGCAGCGGCAGCGGATCGCCATCGCGCGCGCCATCGTGAAGGACCCGGCCATCCTGCTCCTGGACGAGGCGACGAGCGCGCTGGACGTGGAGTCGGAGCGCGTCGTGCAGCAGGCGCTGGACCGGGTGATGAGGAACCGGACCACCGTGATGGTGGCGCACCGGCTGTCGACGATCAAGAACGCCGACGTCATCTCGGTGCTGCAGGACGGCAAGATCATCGAGCAGGGTGCTCACCACCAGCTCATCGAGAACAGGAACGGCGCCTACCACAAGCTCGTCAGCTTGCAGCAGCAGCAACAGCAGCAGGACCAGATGCAGAGGCATTGATCTTGATCGATCTCCTGTGCTTCTGTATATTTGCTGTGTGCCTCCGCTTCTTCTTGGTTGTTAAGGAGTACAGTACATGGAATGAAACAAATCGCTGCGGTAAGATTCAATTATTTTTCCATTGTAAAACGAGGGGTTCACGATTATGTACAAGAGAAAGTATTGGATTTGTTTCTCTTTTTCTGTACAAGTTAAATAACTGAATTTAGTAGATACGCGATTACATTTACATAAGCAGATTCATGGCAAATGGTATGATATACGACTCATAATATAGCAACATAGTACGGCTCTATTTCAAAATATAGCAATCTAATATAGAATATAACACCTTACTAGAATATCCCATAGTAGGCTCATACATTTAGGGATAGAGATAGTTGTGATTTAAGAAACACAAACTAACGTGCCAGGTCGGGACAGCACGAAAGTTCCAATTAGAATTTGGGTTTTGCTAGTTAGCTTTCGGGGACTGAAAACATTTGATTTTTTTGGCCGTTTGATCCAGCGCGTGCTGAAATATTTTGTTATCGGATCCGAATCCACTTCCCAAACGTTGTCTGCCCGTTGGCGCAGTTTCCGATTTTTGAAGCGGATTTGTGACTATCGAATCGCCTCTTGAACTCTGCCACCGATGAGGTAAATTGATCTGATCTTTATAGTTGAAGGAACATTTATATGTCATTTTACGATTGAGGAAGAAAATCAGAGTGGGGCTATAGTTGTGAGACACATAATAGACTTCTTTGTTGTTTAAATGTGAGGTAGATCCGGCCCATATAAACTACCGGTGATGTTGGGGTGTACTGATAATGGAATAAGTTCGTCTGAGGTCCCTTAACTTTACACCGAATCCGATTTTTGTCCTTGAACCCTAAAACCAGATACAACCAGTCCCTAAACTGTCAAAACTAGTGCAAATGAAGTCCCTGGGCGGTTTGAAAGGCGGTTTTAGCTTACGTGGTGCCTACGTGGCTAGTTTGACTCGGTCCTCGTCCCACGTGGCATTGATGTGGTGTTTACGTGGCAATTCTATCCCCAAAAAATAATAAAAACGGTGGTCCCACATGTTAGCTGCACCTAAAAAAATTAAAAAGGTGGGCCCACGTGGGTCCCACATGTCATTCACACCCCCTTCTTCCTCCTCTCTCCCTAGCTCACCACTCTTCATCCCTCTCCTCGTCACTGCCATCGGCAGAGCTGCGTGGCTGCGGGCCGTGGGTGAGGCGTGGCTGAGGGGCGGGAAGCTCACTACCGCCAACGGTGGTGATGGCCGGCGGGATCCCCTCCTCATTTTTGCCATCCCTCTTGTCCCCATTCCCGCGCCGACTGCCACCGCCACACCTCCCCGCATGGCCGCATCTCCTCCTCCTCCAGTGGCCACCGCCGCACGCCGCCCCTTCTCTCCATCAGCCGCCGTAGGAGGAGATACGGGGAGCACTGCGTCCTATTGCTGAGTGGCTCTCCCATGGCGAGGCGCCAGACGCATACGGTGATGCGCTGGCGGACGGGGATGGCAGCACGGAGGGCGGTGTCCTCCTTGGCGACAACGGCGGCGAGCTCGGCGCGGCGGAAGTCGCTCTGAGTAGTCGACGCTGCTGCACAGGTCCCACCACACGCGCGACCGGTCCATCACCCACAGCGGGGGAGGGAGCAGCGCGCGGTGGACGGCCTCCTCCTCCGGCGGCCACCGCTGCACGCCACCCCTTCCCCCCGCCAGCCACCGCCCTTCTCCCTGCCGCCACTGTTGGATCTCGGTTGCCGACGCTGCTTTGGGGGGGACCCGCCGCTGCCCGCGTCGATCTGCTCCACTCACCGTCGTCGCCGACCCCCTCTTATTGCCCCGGCTTCCTCCTCCAGCTCGCCGCTCTTGTCGGCGGTGGCCGGTCTCGCCGCTCCCTCTACATTGCCTCGTTGCTCGCCGTGCTACCAGCTCAACCTCGCCGCTTCGCTCCTCCACCCCTTCACCACTTCCACCGGGCGTCCTCACCATCGAGAAGAGAGAGGAGAAGGGAGGGGGATGAAGAGAGAGGAGCTGGGGAGAAAAGAGGAAGAAGAGGGGGGTGTGAATGACATGTGGGACCCACTTGAGCCCCACCTTTTTTATTTCTTTTTGGGTGTAGCTGACATGTGGGTCCACCTTTTTTATTACTTTTCCAAGATATAATTGTCACGTAGTCGCCACGTCAGCCAAAACCGCCTTCCAAAACGCCGAGGGACATTGGTTGCACCGGTTTTGACAGGGTAGGGACCGGCTGTATCTGATTTTGGGGTTTAAGGTTGAAAATCGGATTCGGTGTAAAGTTAAGGGACTTTTGATGAACTTATTCTGCTGATAATCAATAACTCAAGTCGGCCCACAATTCCTAAAAATGCTGAGGATAGAAAGGAGGGTGAAAAAGGCCGAGGGAGATTTCCAACGGAGGATGAGATGCTTCAAAAGGAATAATGGAATATGATGCTTATAGATGCCACTACGGCAGGCAGCATTAGATGATGTATGTACTGATGTTTCCCTGGTTCACGACTGGATTGCACCGCTTTCATTTTCGCCTTACGATAGTTCCCTACTAATTTTACCTATGGCATATTCCTCACATGATGCCGATAATATGCCACATAGTTCAACATCCTTAGATATTCACTTATAAAACGACGTCGCCTACAGGGAATTTGATCTCGATGGCAATCCCAGAATTAGCCTCATCCAATGAGCTTGTCTATGGACTATGAGCCTAAGAGGACCAAAGACAAAAGAAAAAATCATTTCCTTCGCTTATTTACATAGAACTATAGAAGTAGCGGAAATTATGTGGCCATGAATCAGATGGGAAGCTACAACATGGTTGGGCGTTTGCTCAACTTTGTCTGCATTTTTTTTTTCAGAATTTCAATTGTGGCTACCGCTAGTAAATGGCAAGATCATGTCATGAACTCATGATGCACAGTCCAGTTGCCCATTCAGGCTGTGTTTAGTTCACACCAAAATTGAAAATTTGGTTGAAATTGGAACGATGTGACGGAAAAGTTGAAAGTTTGTATGTGTAGGAAAGTTTTGATGTGATGGAAAAGTTGAAAGTTTGAAGAATTATTTTAGAACTAAACACGGCCTCAATTTGGCAGCCAACTCCCATCGCCCATTAGTACAATCCTAACTTTTTTTTAATTCCAAATTCAGGACAATACCTTAGTCCCTTCTACCAATTCGACTAATTCGCTTGACATTTTTTTCACCAAGATCTATAATAAAAGCAGTCCCATTCCCCACTTAAACTACGCGACCGATATTCTTATCCCTACTTTATTATTATATTGTTCAATACGTTCACGGAGAATTTTATGAATTTTGTCAACTCGAAGGGTCGTCATTAGTGTTTCTTTACTATTTATTTTATTTCGGAAGCAAGGGGGGGGAATAATGTCTAGATTCTAAAGGAAATTAGAAGTTCAATACCTAATTAATTTAATTATCTCTTCCATTCCATGACACCGAGAATACAAATATTAGAGTACCTATAGCTCCTTCCTTGTACGACTCGTTGAAAAACCCGTTGTCGAACTTGATTCATCGCCCTTTGTTTTTCGAAACAAAGGTGTTAAAACATAATCACTAACCTCCGTTTGACGGAAAATATAGCGAGTCGGAGTGTCCAACGATGGTCTAACGAGTTTGGGTCTAGGGTTTGGGACGACTGATGAGGGAAGGAGAAAAGGTTCCTAAGCTTAGAGGGATGGTCATAGGAGATGACGGAGCCATAGGCTTGACAACAAGCGATGGGCTGGTGATGGCAGTAGGGACAATGCGGGGCACATGGTTAGGAGGTGAGGGTGAAGGCATTGGGAGGGAGGAGCCGCTGGAGACAGGAAAGATGACGACGAAGGCACTCTCCGTCGCCAGCTTGAGAAGGAGGAGGCCAGGTGAGCAGGACTCGTTGGCACCGTCGAGGACGACCGGCGATGTGGTGGCGTAGAGGAGGTAGGGGAATCTTCGGGCAGCGGCGCACGAGAGTGAGGAGGAATGGTAGAGAGTTATGGTTATTAGGGCATCAATCAATGGTCTGATATTCACATGATGTGTGTAGAATTTTCTGTCACATTGTATAGGCAGTCACGTGCTAAAAAGGGACGTCCTTTTTGCACACTGCTGATCTGCTGGGTGAAATGAGATCTACCAAGGGGACAAGAGCCGTAGTGCCATACAAAAGCTGGTCCACTATATTAACAGAGGTAGTCAGGTTTCCTCTTGTTTCTGTCCAACGGTCGGTAGAGTTGAGGCCTGTGGTGTCTGACGGAATGGAGATTAGTACTACTGACTACCCCCTCCGTCCAAAAAAAAGTCCAATCCTAGCTACGAACCTGGACATGTATCCTGGACACATGCGTGTCCAGGTTCATAGCCAGGATTTGGTTTTTTTTGGGACAGATATACTGAGTTACTACTGTAAGTAAAAGAAGGGGCCTTGTTTCTGCTGCTAGCCAGCTTCTCCGGCCAATTGGTTCAGGTGATGCTTCAGTCTCATGCGAGAGGAACCACTTAAAATGATACAGTTCTTTGCTCGGAGATCTCCAGCCTCATAAACCAAGTGATTTTCGAGCAGTTCCTATCAATTTTTGTCTGCAATCTCTGCATCCATGCTCGCAAACAGCAGCCACAGAAACCGTTACGTTTGTCTGCTTATGCCGTGCAAAGGAAAGAAACAACAGCCACAACAAAGACACAGTACACTTGCTACCTGAAACGAAACAAGCTCCGTCCAAGCAATTCTTTACAGGTTCACGTTCCAATATAAAAGAAATTATTTACATTCAGCTCCATTTTCGTACACAAACAATAGCTTCCAACAACTGCCAATCATGCAGCAAAGGCATCTTATTTTATTGCTTGCAACTACTGTACCTGATTATTCGTCTGAAATCTCCCTTTCTGAATAAAAAATCACAACACTTGCCGCCACGACTAGGCCAATGCCAATCCAACAGCAGTTGGGATAAACTGCAAGACGAAGCAACAGCAAAGCCTTTGCTCGAAGGGATAATGGCAACAGATTACCCTGGAAGGCAGGCTTGACCACTTGACCGTTCGAGAGTTTGAATCAGAAGTTCAGATTTCAGAGGCACGCTCCTGTGATACAAAACCCCGTGAGCACAGACATGTTGTAGTTGCGTGCATTCAGTTGAAGCAAACACAACCGAGTATTCAGCTACCTGGCGTGCGTTTTGTTTCTGCGTCTTTAATAAGAGCCGGTGAAGCAAACACAACCGAGTATTCAGCTAGGGGGGAAAAATGAGCATTACGCTATCGACTATGGAGGTGAATTTTACGCGTATTCGGAGGGGTAATCTAGAGAGAAACTTATCACAAACAATTGGCGTGCGTGCTCAACCGCTGCCTCTTGTATGCGAGGGACATCTCGGCGAATTGTTCATGACTCACCAAACTTTTGTGGGTGGCCACGAAAAGCTCCATGCCACTGAACCCAAACGAGCGGCAGAGTCACGGCCGGTGTTTGGTCGCAGTATAAGTGTAACCCCACCTTGCTTCAACAGCACGCGTCCGCCCGAACCGATGAAAGGGGAATGGAAATCTGCTAGGGAATTGAGCTAAACACTAAACAAAAGGAGGTTTCCTTTAATATTTTTTCTCTGGTTGTTGTGCGGGAAAAAAATCATTTTAAGTAAGAATTGGATAGTTTTATTAAAATTAGCCCAAAAAACTTCAAAAATCCTTGTGTCCCAAGGCCCTTTTGAAACATATATGTTTTACTCGATTAACGCAATAAATTAATATTTTGAGAAATAAATTTTATAGATACTCCTGAATAAATGGTCTAACATAGTACTATCTCCATATCAAAATATAAGAATTTTTAAAGTTTAACACGATTATTAAGAAAATATGTAAAATCAAATGGTGATTGGTTGAGAAATGATGGTAGGTGGAGAAATTGAACGGCAAAGGGTTATGATTGGTTGAGAAGAAAATATCGGTGGAGATGTTATTATATTTTAGAACAAATTTTAAAGGCTAATAGTTATTATATTTTGGGACAGATGGAGTAGAAGAATTATCGTACTTTTAGAAGCATCGAGCAAATAATCCGCGACAAAAATCCAAAAAGAAAACTGAAAAGAGCAGGGGTCAAAAAAAATCCATATATTATTTTCCTAGTACAAAAACTAATACAAAACCAAGGAGGAGAAGAAACATACTGGGTGTGTGCTTCAAGTCACCAAATTCTTGGTGGAAAATACTGGGTTCGCTGAAACTAATACTAGTAGGAAGCCGATTACAACCAAACAAAATCTGAATCTAGTTTTGCTAAAAGTCACCAGCCATACGAAACTTGCAAACCTCATCCAAAAGGAAGTAGAGATAGAAAACGGTTTCACCAAGAAAACTCATAAAAAAAGAGGCGGACAGGAGAGAGAAAACACAGTGTTGTGATTTGTGAAGTCCGGATTAAAAGGGAGACTACTGTGCCTCCTCCGTTTTCCTCTTCTTCCCTTCTGCAGCTCTCCTCTTCTTCTTCCTCCCAAACGGCCAGCGGCGCGCAGCGTCACAGATTTTACAGGGGAAAGAGAGGAGGAGATGGGGAGGGAGGAGAGGTTCCCGGTGTGGGAGGCGGCACTGCTCGCCGGCGTCGCGGCCGCCTTTGCCACGGGTCTCGTCGGCGTCTACCTCTCCATGCCTCATTCGGACTACAGCTTCCTCAAGCTGCCCAAGAACCTCCAGGAGCTCCAAATCCTCACGTAATTCGACCGATACCGTTTCTAACTGTTCAGCTGGTCTATGCATATGCTGATACTGCTTGTTCGATAGAAACTTGCTTCTCTTTTTTTTTTGTCTCAAAAGTTTGCAGTTTTTGTGCGTTTTTATGTTTTAGAACCTACCTGTGAAGAATCCTAATTTACTAGAACTTACCTGTAGGAAGAATCCTATTTTTTGTGTTCAAAACTTCAAATAGAATGTAAGTACGTAAATTGCATCGTATATGTTCCGTACTTTTGCCAAATATAAAGATTTTATTCATCTTCACTGTTGATACCAATTTCATCCTGTTCTTCCGCTTGAACTGCGTTGGTGCGTTGCTGGATTTCGGAACGTAACGGATTATTCTTGGATAATGGACTTGTAGTAGCAAAGCTGTAGTTTTTTTTTCCTGCTTATCTGAATAATAAATCCGTCCACTATTGTGTGTTTTGCGGGTGTTTTGAGACAGTCTTCGTTTTGGTCTGTGGATTTCTACTGATTTAGAGAGGATATTTTCTAAAGGAAATTTGGAAAGGGTCTCAGTGATTCCTTTGAACAAGTTACCTTTGTCTAGTAGTACTACACGAAGTGCTTTGTTGTAACTGAAAATGAAGCATCGGTAAAAGAAAAAACTTTTCTGACGGTGACGGTAGGAAATTTGCAAGAGTTCTACAGTAGGGCGTCCACTTTTAGTGGAGTGGTAGAACATGGATTTATGACCTGATTATCCATGTCCAAGTATGGCCCATACACATTGCAGCCTGTGGTCCCCTTAATCCATTGAAAAGCATAATTAATCGCGTAATTTTCGCAGCCGGTGGAGTATGAAATCCTTTCTTCTCGGTATTTACTTTCTGCCCAGCTGTAACTGTCGTGCGTTTTGAACCTGGCCATTGGTCAGATCGAGTTCCATCATGTGTGCCTTTTTGGTCACTGCACGCCATAACAATGTTTTGTTGACATCTGAACTCTCTTCAGCTATGGCCTTCTGTTAGGTTAAACACCACTTGCCAAATAGTACCATTGTTCAGACTTCACTATTCAGATAAACAGATAAACTTGTGTTCTTGAATTTGTCTGAAACTCTACACATGTTCAACCTTACACAGTTACACTGTTTGATGTCTCAGTGGGCAATGGATGTTTCAAATTAAACTGCTTCTAATGTTTGTGTACGTTTAATTTGCAGGGATCATCTCGAGGACTACACGAGCGACTACACCGTGCAGGTGCTGGTGGGCTATTGTGCCGTGTACATCTTCATGCAGACGTTCATGATCCCAGGAACCATATTCATGTCCCTCCTTGCCGGAGCACTCTTTGGCCAGCTTGGTGGTGTTGCCCTTGTGGTCTTTGCCGCCACGGCTGGAGCTTCTTCATGCTACTTCCTGTCTAAGCTGATTGGGAAACCGTTGGTCTTCTCATTGTGGCCGGACAAACTTGGGTTCTTTCAGAAGCAGGTAACTTCTTAACCTGCATCTTAGTCAGCTGATATCGCTTAGGATTCTCCCTGTGTTCTAGTTCATGGCAATGTTTTTTATATGTTCGATATGCGACATTTTGATTCTTTGATTCGATATCCGTCAAGATTCTGTAACTGACTGATGCTGTTTGCTTCTTCTTCTCAGGTTGCAAAAAGGAGAGAGAAGCTGTTGAATTACATGCTTTTCCTTAGAGTAACTCCAACATTGCCCAATACTTTCATCAATTTAGCGTCGCCGATAGTGGATGTGCCCTACCATATTTTCTTCCTGGCAACCTTTATTGGACTAATCCCAGCTGCCTATGTGACTGTCAGGGTAAATCACCTGCTTCAAATTCACATACTATTCTAGTTTCTTCTCATGCATAGCTCATGCTTTATTCTTTCTTTTCTGAAATACAGGCTGGAATAGCTTTGGGAGACTTGAGCTCATTGAGTGACCTATATGATAAACAATCAATAGCACTGTTGTTCTTGATTGGGGTTGTTTCGGTGACACCGACATTGTTGGGCAAGAACGAGAAGCAACAAGGCAAAGGGCCAGAAATGGTAGCTAGCAGTAGCTGATCACTTGCACGCGAACTCCTTCTCACCTCCCCTTCTGTGTACATATGAAGATCCTGCATTTGGTTGCTTCCATGGCCTTTGTTTGGATCGGTGCAACTTATGGCCGGCCAAAGGGCAACAGAACATGGCAAGGGCCCCTCTTTCTTTCTCCACTTGTGGAACCCTTTGTGCATGGTGCTGCGAAAGGGACACCTCACTGTCACAACATTATGATTCTGGGGAACAAGATGGGCCACCAGAGCTAAAATGACCCATTTGTTCTGTTTAACATCTTGTTTAGATCGAAGGAACAGCTGATCTTATCATCATTGTATATGCACTGCTAACCAGATTCAGTTTTTCATGGAACCTTGTCTTAGTGATCTGTGAATCTGTCCATGAAATGGTCTGTTTGGGCGCGGAAGTGAACAGCCAAATTGCATGTCATTTTCACTCGTTTGTGCTATGCCGCGATCATAACGATTTTGAGAGGCGATCCTTTGTGAGATTCTGTTGCCAAATGCCATATAATGGCTTCGGTAGGTGAGTGGTGCGCGCAGGTGCGCGCTCTCGATTGTCGATTATGTGTTTCGTTCTTGAATTGGGACCTCTCCATCGTTGCGATGGACCACGGCTGTTGGGTGACAAACTGACGGGGCAATCCGTCAGTCGCACACACGCTCCTAGTCCTATACACGGATGCGTTTGGTGGATAATTCGCTGTAGCTTGGCTGAACCCATTTCCCATCGAGGACACTTTGAAGAAGAACGGCACCGGCCCACACAAAACTCCTCAGTTTTTAGTCTCTTCCCTTTGCCACTGTTTTTCACAAATGAAGTGGGACTCCGAGTGCATGTTCCATACATATAGGTGAGGCATTCCACATCAGAAGGCAGCAAAAATGTACCTCACTATCACCATCTAGCCGGTCATACAGGTTATGACAAGCAGATAAAATTTGTTGGTTCTGGATATAAAACAAAATGCATGCTAAACTAACATGTACAGCTGGAAAAAAAAAGGCTTCGGCACTCGGACCATGCTACCATTTGATTGGAACCGGGATGCCGAGCTTCTTTTTGCCAAGAGGGTGACTCCGAGGACAGCTTCCAGAATCCTGCTCTGCATTGAGTTGGCTCAAGCAGTCCACAATGCCTTTTCTCCGAGTGGACGGCATACTCCTTACTAATCGTGTTACGTTCTTATCTATGCAAGGGCCCTTCGTCGATTTAGATGCTGATTCAACCTTAGCCTTCTTAGCTTTTGATGTGAATTTAAGGTTTCCAAGCAGAGGGGTCTCATCTTCTGCAAATGGCACAAGCAGAAATGTCAGCCTCGTCAATTTTCAAAGGATAATCAGCAAAGCAATGTACAGTAGTACCATGTAAGACAATGAACCCGATAAATTAGCAGAAAAGAAAAACTAATGTAATCAGCATTGGCAGAGCACAGCAACAGTATGTCTATCAATGAATTTAAAATCTCTCTATTAGTGGTACACCAATGATATGATAACTAGACAATAATTCAGTGTGCAGTTATAGGGTAGTGCGTAAGAACTTCTGTTCCGCTGCAGAGAACTTGGTAACAAAAGAAAATGGAACCAAGATGTAGGACTTACCGTCACCGAAGTCCTCAAACTCAAACACATTAAACTCATTATCATCAGAGAAGAAACGCTTGCGTTTTGGCGAAGGAGTTGAGGGTCTGTCCAAATTGGTAATGTCAGCAGCACTACCAGGACACCTATTAGCCACACAATCGTGATGAGATGATATGCATGGCACGATTTCATCTTTTAGGTCAGCCTTGTTGATACCATCAATCGGGCATCCCTTAGCTGGCTCCTCAAGGAAAGATGTTTTGCATTGACTAGTTTCATCTTTCTCTAATTTATCACCAGAACTGTTGGTTGCTTCACCAGAGGATGTTGGACAATCCACATCTATATTCTCCAATACTGAAACGGGAGATGCACCACTCGTATTTTCAGGATGCAGGTCATCCTTTTGCTCCAGCAAACTTGAAAACCACTGAAATTTGCCCTGCCTAATATAAAACAGAATATACCCTTCCTGGTTCAGCGCGCTTGCCTCACTAATCAAATCAACCTACAACAAAGGTTTGCAGAGGTTAATGATTCATGCCATGATAAACCTAAAAGCAATAGCAAGTATCTGTACACATCCTGCTCTTAATATATATAACTACTGGGCAAAGCCCTGGTAGTATTTTTAATTTAAAAAAAAGTAATAGCAAGTAACTTGTGACACATACATGGGAGTCATTCATTAGATGCCAAGTGCTCGGTGAAGAACGAACAGAACAAACATAATGGCCATAGCTAGGTGAACCAGAATGCTCAACAACGCCATAAAGATCATATTTCAGCTCCTTCTGCATAAGGTGGGACAAGTAAAACATCAAAACATGCCTTTGGTAAAGCTATTGCTAAAAATAGAGATAGTAGAAAAACTCACATTGATGTCAGGATCACAATGGAATGGCTTCAAATCAAGTTCTAGTGGGTACACCACATGTTTGTCAATCTTTTCAACAGATCTATCAAGGCTGGTGAAACGCTTTAAATGAATGGCAACGACATCTGGTGATCTATCAAGCATAAGTTGCTTGTTCTTACAAACTTTTGCATTACAATGTTCACAGTTCAGCTTGTCCTCAGCATCCCCAATTCGCTCCAACTTGGTAAAAGATTCCAAGGCATCAATAAGGTTATCAGCCTGATCAATCTCCAGGCTAAGATCCAAGAAGGGCTCATATGTCTCCGAGCAGTGTCCACACTCACAGCAAGTCAACTAGATAGACAGGATGAATTCAGTTGCAACTTTTAAGTGCCAAGACAACAAGCATGATGACAAAGTAAAATACCTTGCTTTTTAGTCGGCCTCCAAAAACCTGCTTAACAATACTTTCTTCATCAAAAGATGAGGGCTTATCCTTTGGCTTGGGATCAGTGGTGCACTTATCCAGGTTGTCCAGCAAACAACGTAGGAACTCATGTGCATCCTCCTGTTGTCCTGGTCTAAAATCTGATGATAATTCTGGGTAATCTTGTCAAGGAACTCCACCACTAATTTGAAGTACCAGAGACAGATACAATAGAAGATATATATCTCAGCACAATATTCAGTGAATATTAAGATGTATTGAAATTGAAACAGAACTGAGGAAGCATATAAATAGAAGTTATGAAATCATATAAGGGGTAACCTTGAAATTTTCAGGCATAAACACCCAATGATTGTCAAAAATGCAAGTCATATTACTGAGCATGTGTGCACAAATGTGGTAAAATTAAACTGCAAGGAAAAATCGAGAGCAAAGGATACTCCTTAAATTATCTCTGAACCTCACTGGCCTTATAACAGATCCAGACCTTCGGATTGATTCATCAATATGTTCTTTAAGAGCACAGAATGAACAGAAACCATCTTTATCATCTGCAGGAGACCAACAGTTTTTTTTTTATCATGAAACAAAAATGGCAATGAGATAACACATTTTTCAGGTAGCAAAACATTACTGTCAGAAACTATCCATACATGAGCATGGAGCACAGTGATCAGTGGAACGAAGCCTGAGAAAAAGTGGGACTGTATGGGTGACACACTGAAGAATTGAGTTTAGGAAGCATGTGTTCCCCATATTGCCAAGACCAGATCCCTGCATATGAAGAAATTTTAAAAATAACAAAATTATTGAATATGTCATTAGCATACGTAAGTCTTAGGGTTGAAGATATTGCATAAAACATACCACCAATTGAGATTGAGTGTTGCGGGAAAAGGACAAAGAAAATTGTTGGCCCTCCATGTTGCAAGGTTCAGCGCCGCTCTGTTAAACATTTTTATCAATCCAATTTGTTCAGTTTAAGAAAGATTAAAATAATGGCATTAGCATAACTGTTTTGAACATAACAGTCTCTAAAACATAACTTTGGCTGTTAATTTGGTTATAAACTTATAATATAATTTTAAGCCATGGTATAAGCATAGTTTCTAAAATACTGCTGGAGACACATTAGCAGCTAATATTTACAAAGTTTGACTGCACGAACCCCAAAACAATTCATTTTATTGTAGGGAGTAATAGGTGTGATTGTGAAGCCACTTACGCCGGAGTTGCACAGCTTGCTGTCAAGAAGGGATGATGAGTCTTGCTTAGTTTTCCCATCCCAGATATCTATTTCATCCTGCAGCACCACCAACAATAATATTAGGGAGCTCTAGGCACCTGGTTATCACAGTTTATGTAGAATAGTTGGATAAGATATTTCAGTTCAAGGCTTATTGTGTGCACCATTAAACATATAACTGGGTCACATGCCTACAAAGGGCCAGAGAAGATCAAATAGATAGAAAATTACATTGGAGCTAGGCTGCTCTGTGCTGAGGGGTTCAGACTGCATATTTGTATCCCCATCTAACAAATCCATGTCATTCTGAAAAAAAGGAACAAGAAAAAAAACAGCCAAAATTAGCAAATTTTTAGATACAACCGACTGTATAGGGATGTCATGGTAATACATAGCTAGCTGCAACATAAAAATCACTTGGGCACCCAATCTTTTAATCTAAAAAATTAGATTACATTAACTTTTTATAGTCTAAGCTAACAATTGAACTCCTGCAGTCCAAAAAATTAGGGCTGCACGATATCACACAACAAAACGGTGCCCTACATGCAAGTCTTCAAATTAAGATAGTAAAATGGCAAAATACTAAGTAATTAGAGTACCAATTGTATTTTTCATGAAGAAACATAAGAGCACGGAGCACAAAATACAACAGGCACGTAGTTCCCTAGGGATGATCAGGGAAACAAACCACCAAGGCTTATGCTTCATACCATTGATTGTTATTTTCCATGAGATGTTGCACTAAAGTGGGTTCATTACCTATTAAAGGACATGAACATAACTTGCTTTCTTATCTACTGTATCAGAAATGCTCTGAGTGAAAATTAATAAACAGTACTTGGTGAAAATCAGCATTAAGGAACCCAAACAGACTGACTGGGACAATCATATTCTTAGAAAGGTTAGCAAATACCTCAGACTGGGGCTGCTCATTTTCAGGCCAAGGTGCACTCAGCATGTATTTATCATCCATCGAATCCAAGTTGCTCTGCGTATGAGAAGAAGCATATTAAATTAACTATGCCAAAAGCAGAGCGACAACAAGCTAATCGCAAAAAAGAATAGATAAGAGTATACATTGTGTTCGTTACTCTTAATTGTGGGGGCACAAACCATATCCCAGGAATTTGAATAGCTCTGCAGGCAAAACCAGGAAACCGACAAAGTTAAAAAATTAGCAGCCACAAAAAAGGCATGTAATGTTGTTTCAAAGAGAAATGATAACACATGTAATCAAATATTTGTACAAGGAAGTCAGGTTAACATCTTACAACAGAGCGAATCGGCTGGCACATGGAGAAAAATGGTTGGTACTGCTCACTTTCAGCATCCCCACTTTCAGCACCAGTTTCAACCTAAGAACTCAATTGTCAGAAATAAGCCATGTATCGATGATCCAAAACTACAGACCATTTCCTTTTGTAACAAGTACTAGCAGAAATTGGACAAAACAGAAGGTAAAAGGCAGGTCGAAATTACCATCGTTTCAGTTTGTTGAACTACACTGCGGAACGTTGCACACAAACAAAATGGGAAAGCAGCATGATAGTCACCACGATTTCTGTCGTCTACTAGCCATGAATGAATGTCACTAGTGTTGCCCAATAATTATGTACTAATAAAAAGTGGTGGTGAGGCGCTACTCCTACCTGCTACCAGATTCCCAGCACACGAATGCCATGTACCCTGCTTAATATTGGGGTAGAACCACAGCAATAACCCAATCGAAACGCACCACAAAACTCCAAAACCATCTAAATCAAACACGTTTGGCTAAGATCGCATCCTGAGTTGCAAAAATGAGCAGTAAACACAAGTAATCGCCACACGACAAGCCAGCCCGCCGACTAAAACCGCGTTCTGAGTAAACCCAAAAAAAAAAAACAGCGACCAGTCTTACCACGCAAGGTACCACTGGCAACGGCCGTACCAGACGAAACCCCACCCCAAGCACCCCCCCCCTCCCCCCAGAAACTGCAGAAAAACAAGCAAGCAGACCGGAGGATCTCACCTGAACAGGGGCGGCCTCCGCTTCGCTCACGGCCGCGGCGCCGTTCTGGTCCGCCATGCGAGGGCGAGGGCGCGCTAGGGTTTTCGCTCGCGGGGAGGGGCGGTAGGTGGCGGTTTGGTGCGTGCTCGCGCGCGGCTGCTGAATCGATGGAGAGGGGAAGGCTTTGGTTGGTCGATTGGTTGAGATCGGAGACTAATCGCAGCAGCGGCGGGGGAAAGCAAAAAAAGTAGGGCAAATCGTTGGGTGGGAAGGAGGAGGAGGAAGGAGGGAAAGGAAGATTTGGGAGGTGAGGAGGGGGCGGAAATATTTTGGGTTTGAAACGGAGGCGGGGCGGGGTGCGCGTTAAAACTGACGACGCGGCGGGTGGGAGGGAGGACCGGAGGAGAGGAGACGGGGAAAATGTGAAAAAACAGAAACTGAGTAGACGGAGGAAGGAGGCGGGATGGGGAGAGTGTGGTTTTCGCGTTTCCCGCCTGTGGGGGGGCTAGTGGGGGCCTGGATTTTCGGCGCGCTCCCGCGTTTCCGTTTCCTGCGTCGCGTGGGTCAACACACTGCGGATGCGGCTTCCCTGTTCCGAATCCGATCTGTGTCAACCAATCAACGGCATGTGTCATTTTAGTGGTGGGTCCCACAGTTTCATATTACAGTCCTTTCGACTTCTCTTTAGTCAAATTATTTTATGTTTCCCCGAGTTTATTGAAAAATATATTACTCTCTCCTTTCTAAATTGATCATCCTGTAATAAAATCCAAAACTTCTCAAATTGATCACCATGTAATTGCATGGGCACGAATTTTATTGGAATACAATTAATGCAGTATGGGATAATGTGTGCATGTTAGGGTGTAATTGGTATGGGATTTTAATCGATGCATGCATTATGGGAGAATGTGTGTACGGTGTCTTGATTGATATGATTTAAATTATCCTTGGTCTTAGTGTATAAACTTATATGATGATCAATTTAGGAACAAGAGAGTAGTATTTTTAAAAAAATATAAACATATTATCAAAATATATTCAATACTAGATTTAACAAAACTAATTTAAGTTTAGTAGGTTGCTAATTTTTTTTATAAATTTAATTAAAGTTAAGAAAGTTTAACTAGAAAATAAGTCAAAACGACGACTTGGGATATGAAGTTTAGTTTTCCTCTTCTCTATTTTCGTTGTTCGAGTTAATATATCAGTACCTGTCTCTCTTATGGGGCTAAAGGAAGGGGAAAAATCATAATAGATTAAACTCAATGAACATTGTTTCGTGAAAAAAAAACATGTTGTTTTTAGGTGGAGCTCAAGGTAGCTAATCTCCCATGGGGCTAGAAGTCCGCCACGAATCCATGATCAACCCCGCATGTTAAGTGGAGTGTTAAGGATTCGATTAGATGGATATGTCTTTTACCTTAAAAGCAGAGTTGTTTTCCTTTTGTTCCCTCTTCTAACCGTGCACCACATTCGCACGCGTAGTGTGCTTAGGTAACCACCGGATGCAAGTTTTTTTCACTAATATTTTTTATAGCCTATTACTACTTATATCGATCTAACCCGACACAAGCTATGAAACATATTTCTAGTATGGTTCTCCAAACTCAAATAAGTTTAGATCTAAAATTTTCTATGCTACCTTCAAATGAGGGGTGTTCTCCTTCCAATCCATTCCCTACTCTCATCACGCACCGCACTCGCACGCGTAGTATACTTAGGTAATCATTGGATGGATCCAAAGTTTCATCACTAATCTTCTTATAGTCAATCAGGCCTGATCTGTTATAACATACTACCTCTGTTTCATAATGTAAATCTTTCTAACATTGTCCATATTCATATAGATGTTAATGATATATAAATGTGGGCAATACTAGAAAGTCTTACATTATGAAATGGGGGAATACCGGTGATATGGGCCCGGGGGTATCACGTCTAGAGGGAGGAGGCCGTCCTCAAACCCACGTGGCTCTCCGCGAGGGGGGATCAAGCCCTGGGTGGAGCGGTGGCTACCCCCACCCAGCTAGAGGGAGGAGGCCGCCCTCAAACCCACGTGGCTCTCCCCGAGGTGGGTCGAGCCCGGGGTGTTGTGGCGGCTGCCCCCTCCCAGCTTGGGGTCGAGTCGCCCCCAAACCCACGTGGCTCCCCGCGAGGGGGGATCAAGCCCGGGGTGGAGCGGTGGCTACCCTCTCCCAGCTAGAGGGAGGAGGCCGCCCTCAAACCCACGTGGCTCTCCCCGAGGGGGGTCGAGCCCGGGGGTTGCGGCGACTGCCCCTTCCCAGCTTGGGGTTGGGCCGCCCCCAAACCCACGTGGCTCCCCCCGAGGGGGGTCAAGCCCGGGGTGGCGCGGCGGCTGCCCCCTCCCAACTAGAGGGAGGAGGCCGCCCTCAAACTCACGTGGCTCTCCCCGAGGGGGGTCGAGCCCGGGGTGTTGCGGCGGCTGCCCCCTCCCAGCTTGGGGTTGGGCCGCCCCCAAACCCACGTGGCTCCCCCCGAGGGGGGTTGAGCCTGGGGTGGCGCGGCGGCTGCCCCCCTCCAAGCTAGAGGGAGGAGGCCGCCCTCGCTTGGGGTCGAGCTGCCCCGACCCCTCCATGTATCAGCCCACGTGTACAGGGTTAGGTGGGAGCGCCTAACTGCCACCTAACTGCATTTAAAGCGGTCTATGCAACCGCGCCATGTCGCATTTAATGCGGCGTGCTGCGCATCTGACCGGTTGAATAACCGATGGGACGGCGACTGTGTACCCCCGCCCTGTCAGTGTGTCAGGCGGTGAGCGGCGTGCTCTGTCCCGTCCCATCATAATGATGAGGGGCTTCACAGCCTCTTACCCCGGTCAGAGTTGGTCCAACCACTCTGAACTGACCGGGTTCCCGTTTTCTGGTGTGAACGAGAACCCGGAAGTCCTCATCCATTAAATGACGAATGACAAGGGCGCCCTGCATGATTTGATGGGCCCCGCGCAGCAACCGACGTGCAGATAGCTTCTGAGCTAAGGCACAAGACATGTAATTAATATAGAGAATATTTTCCCTTCTCCCTAGGTAGCACTCGTAGCACATGTGGTATCCCCTTAGAGTATAAAAGGAGGACCATGCCTAGCGAGGAAGGGGGATCGGACGGAGGATCCCTGAGCCAAAGCTTGTCTAACCATAGCTTGCATACCAGAGATTCAGGGACTTTCTAAGCACAGAAGAATCATACACACAGGAGTAGGGTATTACGCTTCATAGCGGCCCGAACCTGTATAAACCTCTTTTGTCTCATCGTCTTGGAGGAGCCTCCGAGATCAAGATCACACACAGTTTCGCTCACCAAATTCTCTAATCTCACCAGTTGCCCCCGGCCGAACTCTCAAAGGGGGGCCTCACAGCCTCTCGCTAAAGAGGGTCACCCCTCGACAGGGAGTATGAGTGTATTACTAGTATGGTATAAAAAGATGCCGGTTCTTCAAACTTTCAAAATTTTCGATTCAAAAGCCAGCTGTACCAGTCCTAGGTGACATTTTTTTAATTGAAAATATTTGATTAAGTTTTGTGGCATTTCGATCCGGTATATAGAATAGCATCATTTTACCTTGCATAACGCTTCAATACATTTTGCATAACGCTTCAATAGCATCATATTAATCCATGGCATTTGTTAGGACTCATGCGACAGTTTGCTCATAGTTGCTTTTGCTTGTATATTATGATCGTTAGCATATATAAATGAAGATGTTTTCTTCTTCCCATTACATGACACTCTTCGAACAGTTTTCTTCCTTCCAGTTTGAAAGAGAAAAACATCCTGAAAGCATCACCAGCAGCTTCATAAAATTATTGGAGCCATCGTTTTGCGGAATAAGCAAAACGACATATTTGCAAATAAACAAATTGTGAATAAAAGATTTATATACTCGTTCTTAGTGATCTAAATACAAATGCTGAAAAATAAACTTCAATAAAAAACCTCGAAAGAAGCTCCAACTTTAAGTTTGAAAATTCAAATTTTGACTGATAAGTGTAAGTATAAGCGAAAAGATGAGACCCTTTCCTCCTGGAAGCTGTGTTTGTTTTAGAGGGTTGGAAACCCTTCCCTCCCGACACACAAAACAAAACGATACATTAACACATAATTAATTAAGTAGCATTAGCTATTTTTTTTTGAAAAATATACTAATATGATTTTAGAAGCAACTACAATTATGTATAATGTTTTTCCGAATAACATACTATTACGAGTATCATTTAGTAGTTTGATGTGCGTGTGAAAGATACGAAAATAGAAGTTAGAAAGCGCCAAACAAATGTGGCTTCTTACTCCCTTCGTCCCTAAATATTTGACGTTATTGACTTTTTTAAATATGTTTGACCGTTCGTCTTAATCAAAAACTTTTGTGAAATACGTAAAACTATATGTATACATGAAAGTATATTTAACGATGAATCAAATGATAGGAAAAAGAATTAATAATTACTTAAATTTTTTGAATAAGATGAACGGTCAAACATGTTTAAAAAAGTCAACAGCGTCAAATATTTAGGGACAGAGGAAGTATTTGGTAATCTCAGGAACTTAAGGAATAAAAAAACTTATTTAATACGCCATCCGTCCCACGATATAAAAAGTTTTAGAGTTAAAGTAGGTAGATGTGAATGATAGAGAGTTGTGATTAGACGAGTAGTGAAGGTAGGTGGAAAAAATAAATGGTGGATGGTTGTGATTGGTTGGAAAGAGAATGTTGATGAAGAAGTTGTTATATTTTGGGATAAATCCTAAGAGATAAAAGTTGTTATATTTTGGAACGGAGTGAGTATATATCTAACTCTCTCAAATAAAAGATGAGCCACCTTGTCGTTTTCCGCTCCTCACCTGCTCAACTTCTGCGCTTTCTGAGCGCGATCTTCCCTCTTGTTGATCGTGGTAGATTTAGAGTTGGAGCTTTATATTAGTGGAGAATAAGAAGAATAGATCATGAACCATCCGAAACCGACTTTTTTTAACCAAAAATTACGGGATAGAAAACAATATTGGGTATCTTGTCAGCGAAACTCTTAGGACAGATTCACTTTGATGCCATTTTTAACCATATTATTTTTTTAGCAAAGTTATTAAAAAATTATATACGTTTAGTTTGTTGCTAAATTTGTTAAATATATAAAAAATCCTGCAAAAATTTTGGCAATAATACCATCTTGCTAAAATTTAATAAGGTTATTTTGCTACGATCTGAAAATGCCCTACTCCCTCGGATCAGAAGTAAACCGAGCAAATACAGTGTTGAGCTAATTCCTTCTTGCATGTTTTCATGGGCCTGGTTGCCAATTACTAGCAGCATATACTGCAGATTGCAGATTTGCAGTAGGCCAGAACGGCCCATGAATAATTCCCTGTGGACCAGGCCCATTGCATCGGAGCCCCACACTCTTTCCGGTCACGGGGGTGACGCCGCGAGACGAGCGGGCGCTCCCAATGACACGAAAGGACAGGTGTCCGGGTCGGATACACGTCATCTCCTCCCCCTATTATCCATCACCAAAGTTGCAAAAAAATTCAGGGGAATAGAAAAGCATAGGAAATAAAGTAAAGGGAGGAGAGGACAAGGAACTCCTTCCGGCTCCGATCCCACCCACTCCGGCGGCCTCTCGCTCGGCCTCGCCCTCGCCTCCGATCGATTCGCCCCTCGTCTTCCTCCTCCCGGATCCCCCAAGCCAAGCCCGGGGAGCCGGGCCGCCGCCAACGCGCGCGGCGGACACGAGGAAGGGAAACAGGCGACGACGAGAAGAGAGGATCAGCTGGGGGTGATGAATTGTTACGCTGCATGGACGGAGCAAGCGAGAAGCCTCCCCACAAGGTACGCGTCCCCCCGCGATTCCGGTTGTATTATTCCCGCGCGCGCGCGAGAGAGAGAGATCGAGTGTTTGAGCTTCAGTTCGTCAGTCTATGGCTGGATTTGGTTTTGGTCGTGCCGCTTGTATAGAAGGATAAGAGAGCTGTGCTGCGGCTGCGCGAACCAGTTGTTTTCTATTATTGGAGTGGCCGATGACTTGTATCTTCGTTCACTGTGGCCAGGAAAAAGGTGGATAGGCCTTCCCAATAATTTGTTGGTTGGTTCTGGACCAAACCTTTTTTTTCTCCTGGGGCATTTTGATACTGTGATTGATGGCTACAAATAGTACTGGAGCTACTGTGGTATTGCTTTGCCCGCGGTCTCGCTAGTGGACAGCATATGATTGTTTGGCTGGTGGCCAGATTTAGTCATGGTCAACTGTGCCGAGTGGCCGAATTCCGTATGGTGGATTTAGGTTCATCTTCCTCGCGCAAATGTTTCTAGGTTCTTGATTAATGCAGCAGCACAGGATCGACATTTAACCTATGGTCTGTAATCGGTGAATTGAGCCTTTTAGTACAACCCTCTCACTGAGGGTTTGAGACGAAGACTGGTGTTTAGGTTCAATCTGTGGCACCATTGTATTGTAACGGCCCGTCAGGTCTCCTTGTCGAACACCACCCTACAATATTATAGGAGTCCTGTTAGCTGTTTCTTTTTTAACCTGAACTTTTGCAGCCATTTGGAAAATGCTGATCAATGCATTGCTGATGTTTGTTTTTGCTTAAACCAATTTCCTTACCTTGATGTCCTTTATTCATCTAAGACAAATGCTGTGAATTGCACAAACTAGGTTCTACTTTCTTGGCAGATGCGTTGCTTTGTCTGTACTATTCTTCACAGCAAATGTTATCTACTGACGAAGTGAAGGAATTATTATTCAAGCATAAAACATCTATTAATAGAGTGTGGCCTTGTGGGTGGTTAAAGGGTGCAAAACAACCAAACAACTTATTACTCAGCATGCGATTTAGTGTATCTTTATTTACAAGACATCGGGGTTGCTAGGCAATTCAAGCCTGTATATTGCCACTTGTATGCTTCGCTATGGTATGAACTCAATATGTGTTATTATATGGTTTTTACAACTCTGTTAATATGCAACTCACCTGCGCTGTGAGCTATCATTTGGGCACTTAATCTTAATAAGTCATGCTAATCCAAAATAAACTCACTTTACCGCCTATGTACTCGTGACGTGGACTACCGTGCCATTCATATTCTGAAAAGTGTCCATAATCAATTATACTATTTCTTGCACAGGTACACTTTTTTTTAATACGTCTTATTCATTATATTCATTTGGAATAGCAGGACTATTACAAAGTTCTGGAGGTTGATTACGATGCATCCGATGACACCATCAAATTGAGTTATAGAAGATTAGCTTTGGTATGCTGTTATTGGACTTCTTTCGGGGTACGCAAATAATAATACATTAACACACTGTAACTGATAATTCATCCACAGATGTGGCATCCAGACAAGCATAAGGGGGATAATGATGTCACAGCTAAATTTCAGGAGATCAATGAAGCCTACACAGGTATTTTCCACTCTCCATTATGTAGGCACAGATGATCTTATTATCCTCATTTACTTCCTAGAGATAAATTTGGGATCTCAATATGGATGTACTTCCTAGAGATAAATGTTATCGTCATTGCCTGATTCACTTTTTTTTATGTTCCGTTTTTTCAGTTCTAAGTGATCCAGCTAAGCGCCTTGAATACGACCTTTCCGGATGTTATGAGTTAAATCGATATACTTTGCGTGTAAGGTGTCTTCTATAATTGGCCTTCCATATTCCTCTTCTACACGCTTTGTGTTGATTTTTCTTGCTGTCTTTCCCTCGCTTTTAGGAGTACCTTACAAGGTTTAAGGGTATGATACTTACCTGCAATGGTCTTGGCATAGACCATTCTTCAAAATGGTAAAGCATTTCATTTGAGCCTGATGCTAAATTTGTTTTGCATATTGGTTAAGACTTAAGACTTCATGGCATGATTCCTAATAGTAGTGTGAACACTTCGAATACAGTATTTATGATTTCATTTTCTAGGGCCCGGCATTTGAGGGAATTGGAGCCCCATTGATCTATAGGTACATCTTATTTGTCCATGAGCTTCTTCAGTACTTTCTTTGAGGCCAATTGGATGCTTAGCTGTTTCTTTTAACACAACTATGGATACGGCAGGGCATCTCTCTGTTCTTTGTAACACAACAATGGATTCTGTCGTATACTAATGTATTTTTGCTGCAAGAAATGCATGCACGCAGTTTCCAGATGTAGTTCTTGGCTTCTCACCGAAAAAAGAGCAACAGTTTCGTGGTGTTTAACTTGACACAAATACAAATTAAGCCTATCCTTTCTCATGAACGCCTGACAGAAGTAGATGACAGTAAAACATAACCTCACATATTCTGTACATTTAGTCCATGCAGTAATATAGCATAGAAGAGTTCTGGTGTTATCAGTTTTATCACAGATCTGCCATGATGAACATATGCTGAGATTAAAATGTGCTTAGTTCGGATCACTAGTTCCAGTTTGGTGTTTGATCTCGAAATCTCCATTCAAGTATGTGTTACTCGTATCAAGGGAGCACTGGAGAAATTCTTTTGATGCATGTTTTGATTATATAGCTAGCAATTTTAGCGGTACGCCCTCCATTCAGGCACATGGGACAACGTCCTTATATCTGAGTTGCAGTATATATTTTGTTGCTGGACATGGTTGGCTGCCTGTTATTATAAACTGGTAGGATTAGCACGGAGGGTTGAAGAACTCAGGATTCTTTACTCCGTTGTTATTTTGGGATGGAGTACTTGTTTGCCATCAGTGGAAGGAATGCAGGATGAAGCTAGAAAGAGATGCAAAATTTTCTTCCCAACGGAAAGTTCTACCAGTTGAGTTTTCCTGGCCAGTCTTTCCTTGCTGTGCTGACCTTGCAATCATCCTCTCTCTCTCTCTCTCTCTCTCTCAAGAAAAAAAAAATGCAATCATCAAGCGGTTCCTTTCTGATTTAAAGTTCTGGCCTGTAAAGCGAGTTAGCGTGTGACGCTGGTGTTTATACCGTACCAGCATTTGGAATTTTTTTTATTTTTATTTTTTTTATTAAAAGTTTTACAAAAATAATTTTTCATTTTGAAAATTGACAGAAGTGGTCGCCTACCGCCCTCTGGGAGGGCGATTTTTAAAAATCGCCATCCCAGAGGGCGGCGAAAGTGACGTGGCAGACGGCCGTTCGCTCTCGGGCGACGGCCTTCAACGAAATTTGCAGGCGGCCCCCTTGCCGCCCTCCGCTAGGGCGATTTTGTACTGTGCGGAGGGCCGCCTGCAAATGGGCGGCGGGGGGCCTGGAATTTTGCAGGCGGCCCCCTTGCCGCCCTGGGGGAGGGCGATTTTATACTGTGCTTTATATTTTTGTATAAATATAAATAGTTATCAAATCTTTTTATATTGAAAACTATACAAGATTAAAATCTCCAAGACAGGTAAAATACAATTTTATTATTTTTTAGGGCCTATTTGGAATGTTACCGTACAAATATTTTGTTAGTGCCAAAATATAAGCAAGTTTTGGCACTACCAAATATTTGGTAAGGTAAAATTGTATTTGATCATATTTGGTTTGCTGCCAAAATGTAAAATTGTAGTGAAGAATGTTCTACATAATCTCAAATCTAGATTACGTATTACCAATGAATAGGTTTTAATCGAAATCAAACACAAGTACTATTCAAATTACCAAAATATTGGTAGGGCATGTTTTTGGTAGCAATCCAAATAGGCCCTTAGTCTTACGCATACAAAAAATCACCATCATAATTAAACATTGTAATGATAAGATAGATAAGAAGTGCCATCGATACACGGTACAAATTTGTCGATCCCGACGAATCAAGCATGCGGTAACCTATCGGCCCCTTCTAGGTCGGTCAGAATGCATTGCATTCTCGTGGTCCTTCAATCGTTGATACTCTACTTGTGTTTCTGACTCTGTTATCTTCTGGCCATGATATGATGGAGTGACATTGTCGATCCATCGAGTAAATCCACCCATCCTTGGATTGCCCTGTAAAAATAGTAATGTTATTCAGTTTGGGTAGTAATTTTGTGCAAATCATAGCGGATTTTGTAAATGGTTAGACATACAACGAAATCGTTGTCTACATTGGGGCAGACAAAATATCTCCTTCGAAATGTTTGTTCAGCAAAGGATGTAGCCACCTGCCAGCGATCTCTACACCCACACTTTGGACGCTCGGACCATTTAGGTAACCCTAATGGATTGTTCCTCCAGTCTAAGCTTGCAATTTCCACCCGACGTTCGTACTCCATCCAAGCATGAATGAACTGTATGGTCGGTTCAGGTTGCGTTATCGGCCCGCCACTTGAAGTAACTCTGACTGTGTCAATCTATTGTACGAATTGACATTTCCTTACATCTTCCTATGTACATCCATTTTGGGATAGTTAAGTTAATGATAGTACTGAGGAGTGATGAAAAGAATAGTTATAATTACCACGGAATCATCGTCGACAATGTTTGGACACACGAAACACCTTTGTCCTCGAGTTCGGTGCCTTACGGACCTTATGACCTGACAACGGTCACCACAACGACACTCCGGACGCTCACGCCACGTGGGGAGTCCTAGGGGATTTACGTGCCATTCTAAAGCCTCAGCAGCAATTCGACGTTCATGCTCATCCTTCCGCCTTAGGTAGTCCGATCTTGTTTCACTACGTGGGTAAGCACGGGTTCCGTCGTTTTGTGGGTTCTCCATGTCTACCCACTCGATGAAGTTGCACATTGGACGATATGTCTGCGTAAGATGTTACAATTGTGTACGAAGAAGTTAGTTTTTTTTATCCATTTGAACTTCGAATAGATGAAGCATATCTGATCAAAGTTCGCGCATTGGAAGAATCTCCTGCCCCGAGTTTGTATCATGAGGGAAGACTTGAGTATGCATCCATCCCCACAATCGCACAAAGGACGGTCACACCATGGTGGAAACCAACCAGCAAAAGGATCGCTTCGCTAGTTGAGACGCTCAAGGAATGGCGCTTCCATTTTCGTGTGTTGTGTGCTAGTGGGGAAGAAGATATGAAGAGGTTGCCTTCAGATTGTCAATTATATAGCGTCGTTTTCACTGCAATATATGTGAACTCAATGAGATACATTATTCATTAGATGTGACAAGACGATCACGCGTGGGCGTGATTCACTTTATGTCAACAGGCAGCGCCGAAAGTTGATAGTGACAACTCGAGCTGCCGCTTTTCATGTGTACTGTTGTGGACTGTGCGCGCTACTGGATCTGACACTACCGTGAAGCGCCGAAAGTGTGTTGTCGTGAGCATAAGTTGTTCTAGCACGATATGAATGAAAAGAACTATGTAGACGAGACAAACACAAGTAGTACTGCAGTAGTAATAGCAAAAGTAGTACTGCTTTACAAGTTTGTAAGCCAAAAGAAACGGTCACATAAGGACTGAAGAGGTAGAACACTACTGACGAGGCCTCTTACCCCTGTCCCTCCTACCCTGCGCCCTAATGTGCCCCTGGGAGTACGTGAGTCGGTCCGGGGGTACGGCACGGCCAACCCGTCCTGCCTGTACAGGTGTGACCTCTGGCTGCTCCTGAGAGTGTGCCTCTGGAGCTCCTCCAAGCTGAGAGAAGCCTAGTACGTCGTGGTGGTGTGCACCGTGCAAGTCGTCGTCGTAGAACTGGCTAGTAGGACCAGTCCTACCGGCGTGAGACGAAGAGGCCCCAGTATCGAAGATCCCGGCTGCAAATCCTACTGAACAAGGACCATCAGTTTCATACAGGTATTTAATAGTATTAATAAAAAGTAAAGTACCGTGTGGGCGAGGGATCGACGCTCCGTGAGAGGAAGAGGTGGCGAACGCCCCTGCGGAGCTCGCGGAAGCGCCGGTCGTGCCTGTGAACGCGCTCGAAGGCAGACGAGGTCCTGCGATGAGGAAACGTGCCGTTAAAACATGGTGACATATTCGTGCAAAAGCTGAAACAAAAATGAACTAATCTCTGGGCTGAACTGTACCGTGCGAAACCGGTGCTGTAGGTCGCACTGCTCCGAAGCTAGGGGCGCTCGAAGGCAAACGAGGTCCTGCGAGGATGGAACATCAAGTTACGACGGGGTGATGTTTTCGTACAAAAACAGAAACAAAACTTAAGAAACCTCTGGGCTGAGCAGTACCGTGCGAAACAGGTACCGTAGGTCGAGGTCCTGCTCCGACGGTAGGCGCACGAGGCCGTGGTTGTACCGGACCAGCTGGAGGTACGACGTCCACGGCGCTGCGACAGGAGAAGACGCGCATGACCGCACGCATCTTCTCCTGCATCCGGTCGAAGGTCACCCTCTGCTCAACGTCAGTCAAGTGCAAACCTCTGTTCAACCTCACTTGGACTGCGGTGATATCGGCACTGATATCCCGTGCGGCATCAGCCTATGCAAGATGGAAATAAAAAATTCAGTAGTTGTCCTATATTATGCAAGATAAATGAAATAATTGTAAGAACTAATACAAATTCGACGTACCCCCACGAAGTAGTCTCGGTCACGGTGCGTGGGATACGCGTCCGTCACAGCGGCAACGTGCGGCTCTGGGGCGTCTGGAGTGAAGGTCACACGCGCATGAGTGCGAGGAAGGTACCAGCGAAGGTAGTCACGGTAGTTCTCCTCCGTGTGTGGGAAGAGCTCGTTGATCACCTCCTCTGTAGCTAACACCCAGTCGTCAACGTACTGCTGTACACGTGGAGCCCAAAGTGCGCCTGCTAGCTGTCCCCGTCGAGTCAACCTGTGAAGAGAGGTAAATTATATGGCTCGATGAAGTAATTATCATAAAAATTTAGAAATGAACAATCCGAACTCACGAGTGGTCGGCAGGGAGGACGGTCGGCTGCACGTTGCCCGGAAACACCTGCCTAAGTCCGAACTGTCTCATCACATGCTGCGGGCAGTGAGGCTCAACGAAAATGTCGAACACCATCGGCAGGATGGTGAGCCAGTAAGCCTGGTCGCGTGTGCACAACGACGAAAGTCCTAGCGGTGCTCTCGCAGCGACGGCCTCTTCTGTGTACGGCTCCCAGATGACGTCGCTCGGCTGGAGACGGTCAAACTCGAACACGAAGTCCGGGTAACCTCGTCTCACCTGGACGTGAGCGTAACGACGCTGCAATAAACATGATCGGAATTAGACATGTTATGTGAAGAAAAAAAAGAAGACGACTGATAAACTTATAACGCAGCGAAGTTGCACTAACCCCACGTCGACACCAGTAAGTCCCCATCGTGGGACCGTCCTCTGGCCACTGCGCGCTGCGACCAACCCCGTATGGTGCGCTGTCCACCACTGGTCGACCTATGGCAAACCTCTCGGCTGTCCAAAGCTGAAGCAACATAGGGCAGCCAGCGATGATCGCTCCCGCGTCAGTCTTCGTGCACGCCTCACAGAGGGCACGGTACGTGGCTGCTAGCACGGCAGAACCCCAGCTCCACTGCGGCACGTCCTGTGGCTGAGCATCCGCGATCGACCGTGCGTAGTGGACCAGCCGGAAGTCCACAGCGTGCCCGTGGGTGCTAGTGAACATCACCCACCCGAACAACCACAACAGGTACGCCTCAAGGGAGCGTCGGACCGAGTTATCATCAGCGTCAGGGTGCAGAAGGTCCGCCTACAATTAAGAATGAAATGTTAGTACAAAACACTCTGTTGATCGCAAATAAGCATGTATGATAATAACAACTTATTTACTTACAGTGAACTGGAGCAACCAAGCCTTGCTAGGCCCGACTGTAGAGTACGGAGGAAGGGTGTTGGCCGGTCCTAGGTGTGGAAGGCGCATCACCTGCTCGAAGCGCGCAGTGATATCCTCCTTCCACCCAAAAACACCGTCCACGGGACCAACTGGTGCTCCCGCCAGCGGTAGCCCGAGCAGGTACGACACGTGCTGCAGTGTCGGAGCTATCTCCCCACAGGGAAGGTGGAACGTGTGCGTCTCAGGTCTCCAGCGGTCTACCAGAGCGGTAAGGAGTGACCGGTCTGCATCCCACCGCTTCGCTGGGTCACGGTCGTCCGCCGCCGCCTCAACAAGCCTACAAAGTGGTAGAAGGCCTGCCGCACGCAACCTGTATAGAGCAAACTTCAAACATAAGTACAACACAAAGCAAAGTTGAGTTGAAATGTGAACATACGCGTACCAAGGAACGTGACGGGGGTCGACACGCAACCACTCGCGCGACGTGCGTGGACGGAAGGTGCCGAGCTGTGCACCCTCGACTGCTGACAGGAACGAGCGGTGGTTCCTGTCAATCCCACGGTTCAACAGCGCCGGTGTGTCGTACGCCATACCTGCATCAAATAGATTGATCAGAAACATATAAATAATTAGTTCAACATAAGTAATAAATGTTCATAAGCGAATTACTAACACATATTAAACAAGAGTACAAACAAATAAAAGTGTCACCATACGGAATATTTCTGATTACAACAATAACTGCAGTTACACGATATGAGTACTTAGTCCGAACACTCATCACGATAACATTATGATACAACACCGAATAGTTCGCAATACTACTAGTACAACAATAGTCGGAGGTACTCATTACAACAACATTCAATTGAAATTACACGATAGAAGTATTTAGTCCGAACACTCATCACATCACAACATCATTTTATTTCCTAAATCGATAGCATTGTTACACCATGGAATCGCCTGCTGCGCGACGACGCCTTGGCCTTGCGCGCCTGCTTGTTGTTCCTTCACCAGGTGGTCGCCTACCATCACTTGCCTGTCCAGATGGACTAGCATCTGCGCCGCTTGGAACTTCTGCATTCTTCGGGCATTTCTTGTAAGTATGGCCGCGCAGATCACACTTGCTGCAGCGTAAAGTCCTCCCACCTGCTTCTGACTCATCCATATCATTTCTGATGCGTCTAGTTTGGCGTCGACCCTTTTTCACCCTTAACTTAGATGGGTCTGGAATGTAAAAAACTTGGGCACTCAGCGTTGTGTAAGATCCTGAGATCCCGAACCCATATATCTCCTCACTCCATGTATGAAAGATTGCTTCTTTCCTGAAATAATTTGAGACGTACACATTGGAAGATATGCCACAATCACCGGCAGCAGCAAGAACGTGTGAGCAAGGAAGGTGATGAAGCTTCGGCTTCATACAACTGCAGGTACATCCACCATCCGCCTTCAAGACACATTCCTGCACGGCTTGCTTGCGATAGATACCACGCCTGCTCCTATCAACACACATTATTTCATACCGATGCACTTGTGTGCCTTGAGCAACAACTCTATGTCTCCGTGCCTTTTTGATTTTATCTTCCATGTACTTTGTCACTACGTTGCCAAACACTATGTTGTTATCGGCCATGGACGGACCAATTTTCTTGTATCGATCCCTAAAGTACGCTTGCGTGCCGTGAAGGATGAATTCAACAATAGCAACCAATGGAAGTACCCGAACTCCTCGCATTACCCAGTTGTACACCTCTGCCAAATTGGTTGTCATTATGCCATACCGAGATCCATCGGTGTCGAACAATAGAGACCACTTCTCCTTAGGCTCATTCTCAATCCACTGTGTGAAATTTCTGATGGACGACCCTGACCTCCTTCTAAAAGTAGGTTACATTCTCCAGATCAAACTAAACTACATCTTACAATTAACACTACTGTCTATGTCTCAATTCATACTATTATATTCTATGCTCTGGATCTACACATATGTGCTGTGTGCTACAGATATGCTAAAATATATGGAACTAAAACTAAAACGCAACATATATACTCAAACATAACATATTAGTACAAATGCAAAAGATGTATGGGAGCAAACCTGTGATGAAGTGAGCGAACCAGCAGGGCTTCGCCGCTCCCCTTCTGCTGCCCTCCCCTCTCTCTCTTTCGTTTTTTTTTTGGATTTTGAGTGAATATAATGAAATTTCAGAGAGGGGGGACTGGGCTTTATAGGGGGGAGGCAAAAATCGCCCTCCCCAGGGCGGCAAGGGGGCCGCCTGCAAAATTCCATGCCCCCTCGCCGCCCATTTGCAGGCGGCCCCCCGCACAGTACAAAATCGCCTTAGCGGAGGGCGGCAAGGGGGCCGCCTGCAAATTTTGTTGACGGCCATCGCCCGAGAGCGAACGGCCGTCTGCCACGTCATTTTCGCCGCCCTCTGGGATGGCGATTTTTAAAAATCGCCCTCCCAGAGGGCGGTAGGCGACTACTTCCGTCAATTTTTAAAATGGAAAATTATTTTTGTAAAACTTTTAATAAAAAAAATTAAAAATAAAAAAAATTCCCAGCTTTTGTCTCCCAGCTGAAATAAATCGCACTGTTCTATTTAGTCATGGCACATGATCTGCACTAGTAGACCACTAGTGGGCAATGGTACCTGCTCCACGCTTGGCCCATGGTTTGTAGGGCCTTCGATATCGAGTGGAAACGGAAGGCTGATAGGATCGGACGGTGCCCGTGGGCTTTTTGCCGTACCACCACAGCCTTGGATGAGCAAGGCAAATAGCTAAATACTACGGGGGTGGCTAATGGGCGATCGATCGCTCGATCCCTATCCCCATATGGCCTATACACTCCTCTCCCCCTTCCTCCTTCCCTTCTCTTCCTACTACACCATAATTTTTTTTAAAAAAAACAAAGTTGGAAAAATTTATATATAGAAATACTATATATAAAAAATATTTGAATTCAAATTCAAATTTGAAACGGGTACGTAAACTTTTGACTTATAAACTTTGGGTCTATAAACTAATATTTGAATTTAAATTCAAATTTAAAACGGGTATGTAAACTTTTTGACTTATGAACTTTGGGTTTATAAACTTTATATGTATAGAAATACTATATATAAAAAATATTTGAATTCAAGTTCAAATTTGAACCAGATATAATTTAAATTCAAATTTGAATCAGGTATATAAACTTTTGACTTATAAACTTTGGGTCTATAAACTTTAGGTGTATAAATTTACTAAAATTAAAAAGTAATGCGGTGAAAAAAAAAAGAAACCACGTGGAGGACGGGGGATAGGACTTTCGAAATACTACTACCTTTGCTCAACGTGTTTTCTCCTCTCTAGTACTCCTGGAAGGAGGGTGTGCGTCGCGTGCACAAAAGCTGCATCGGTCCATTTTGCTTGCAGGGAGGGATCCAGGACCAGACGCCCCCGGCTGCGGTCAGTGGTCACTCGATGCATCTACCGTGGAGCGTCAGACATCTATCGTGGTTCTGTATAATGTCGCTGACACAATCATGCCTTTGTACCGGATTAACGAAAAGAAAAAAAAAGGAGAAAAAATAAAGAACTTAGGAGTATGAGGGTCAGAAGCCACTGTTTCCACCGAAACAAAACGCAGCCGCGTCGCGTCGATCACCCCGCAAGAATCCAGCCGCGGTGAGGGGAGCGTCACTTAGCCACATGGACAATCGGACACGCTTGAGATGACGGGGCGCCTACCGATCGGGAGAGGAGGTGGCCGGCGGCCGCGTCGTTCGGGATCCAGAGGGTTCCAAATCTCGGACGCTTGCGCCATTGCAGGGGCGAGACCGAGCCGAGCGTGCGTGTCCCACAAGCGACTGATTGGCGAACAGCTACCAACAGTAACACTACTGCTAGCGGTGGCGATCGAGCATTCGAGCCCTCGCATTCGCGAGAAATCACAATCTTTTCCCAGAGATTCCACGGACAAAGCTTCACCTGTTGCTTAATGATTACCGCATCAGTACTAACAGTTACCCCGATTTAGACGGGGAATTTTTGAAGCCTCGACATATAGAGTAGACACTAGAGTAGTATGCTCTACTGATCAAACCTCACGCTAATACTGCTATTTCTTCCAAGGTAGTCCTACTAGTACGCTTAGTACCAGACTAATACTAGCGCTGTCATGCTTAATTGCTGCAGGCAAACAAGGGATGGGCCTCACCTGTCAGTCAGTACACGGGGTTTCCACCGTCACTCCAACCTGAAAGAAAAACAAAGCACAAACTACACATTCCGTCAATGTCGAAAAAGAGATAAAAAAAGAACGCCTGGTGCAGTGCGGATCAAATCAGCGACCTTAAAATTCCCAATTTGATGTACACAGGCTACAACGTTTTCAAGCACGCTAAAAAGGAGCAAAAGCAACGAAGAGAACACCACTGGCAGGAGCATATGCACACATTACGCCCAAATCACAGGCTTTGGAGTTTGGTCTAATTTAATCATAAGATTAGCACGCGAAGCCACAAAAAGGCCAAAAGGAAAAATCTCCTGTAATCTCCCCCGTCTAGTTAATTAATTAATTTAGTCCTCTAAAGCAGCACACATCCCTACTGATCGCTTTTTCCGGCCATGCCGAGCCATCTCACTCATCCTCGCTCCGGCATGCTCGCCGACGATCTCCGGTGCCGGAACGCCTTGAGCGGGCTCGGGAAGTGCCACCCCCACCGCGCCTTCGCCGCCGCGGCCGCCGCTTTTGCCTCCACTACCGTCGCGGAGACCGAGCTCGACCTCGCGAGCCCCATCCCCCCCTCCTCCTCCTCGTCCTCCTCCGCCGCAGCAGCAACGCCGTCCTTGGCCGCGGGCTTCCAGAACGGCGGCCACCCCCAGACCCTCGCCTTCCGCCTCCCCCCGACCGCGCCGGCAGTGGCTGATGCGGTGGAGGCCGCCGCGAGGGAGGAGGACGCGGCGACGGACCGTGACCGCGCAATCCGGTGCTCCCGCTCGATGAGGGTGTGGACCCGGCCGACCGCTTCGCCGGACGCCGACGAGGAGGAGGACGGGGACGCGCACGTGCAGGGGCAGGGTCGCACGTGCGCGCAGTTGGGGCAGAGGCGGAGGAGCCTGTCGCGGAGGCAGTGCGGGCACACCCCGCCGCCGGATCTCGCCACCGGGTGCTTCCGGCACCGCCACTCGTCGCCGCCGCCGCCGCCGCCGACGGCGACCGCTGCCTTCTCGGCCTTCATCCCCCTCAGCCCCGCGCGTGCTGTTGGTTGCTGCGTCTCTCCCTCTCTTAACTCCGCTCCGCGCTTCTCAGAGAGAGAGAGGAGGCGTTACTCACAACGTCGCTGTAGAACGGAATGGAAATGGAATAGAGCGAGACGGAGGCCATAATGAAGGCGCCACCACCGGAGCTTACTACTAACGGCTTGTGGTTTCGCGAGCGCACCAAACCGGCACGTACTCCCGAGTTATTTACGAGTGTGCCATCCGTAGAGCTGGCGGCTAGCAGCTGAGGAATATGAAAAAGATCTTCTGCGAACACCGCACTCGTACAAAACAATGTACTCCCATAAAAAACCCTACTTTGAGGTACTCCCTCCGGATTCGGATCCTCTGCAGTAATGTAGAGGGTCACTATAGCTACACTAATATGTGAGGGGAACAGTGTTCTAATGCACACCACAGTCACGATTTACTGTAGCTACAGGGGATGAATGTACTGTAGCACCTCTGGTTAGTGCTGTAGCAGATTTACTGTAGCATCTCATCTGATCCATCCATCTTCTATCGGACGCTTCACAGTACTCCTAATGCCGGGCACTGTAGCTACCTCTGAAATTTCTCCTCTACAGTAGAGGATCCGAATTGACTCCCTCCGTCTCACGATATAAGAGCAAGTATAATAGTAGGCTATAAGCCGGCTAAATGCTGAGATGGAGGAGAAAAGAGAGGAGAGAGAGGACAAGCAGGCTATAAACTTACAGCCGGCTTGAACATAAGAACTAATAAACTCTGTGAGAAAGACAAGTGGGCCCTGTATTAATCGTAAAGAGCTAACTATTATATGAGTAGGCTAAGAGAAGGCTACAAAGAACCTTATAGCCAACAGGTTGGCTATATTATTATCTTTGCTCTAAGAGATTTTGAGTTTTTGCTTCCAACGTTTGACCACTTGTCTTATTTAATTTTTTTTGCAAATATAAAAAACGAAAAGTTGTGCTTAAAATACTGTGGATAATAAAGTAAGTCACAAATAAAATAAATAATAATTTTAAAAAAAATTAAATAAGACGAGTGATCAAACATTGTAAGCAAAAACACAAAATTCCTTATATTATGGGACGGAGGGAGTATGACATGCTTGGAGTAATACTATGAATTCGAAGATTTATGAAAATTATATATGATGAATTCGAAGATTTATAAAGTGTACTACTAATATGCAAATCCATTCACAGTGTCGCTGGACGCAGAGAATCCTGGCCACCGCGCTGAGAGATAAGGCTGCCGGCGCACGTGCGGGGTGGGAATGAGGCGTGTCGGGGTCAGTTACATGGGCCCCGCATGTCGGTCTTTTGTGACGGGACCGAGGCTGTTTGTTCTTTTTTCTCTTTCTCCATTCTCCATGCCCGCCCGTGTGGTGGACTGGTGGACGGACGACTCGCGGCTTTGCGAGGCGCGCACGCGCGGACCTGGCCTCACCGCGCCGGTTTTTGCCTGGTTGCAGCCGTACGGGACGACGAGGCATCGTGTCCGTCGTACACGGACGTACACGCCGTTGCTAGTCGCGTACTACTCGCGTGGATTGACTAGCGGGCGTGGCGCGGTGTCCACTACCGCCTGGCCCTCGGTTGTGGTTGTACTTGCACGTGTGGCTGACAACCTCCACGGTGTGGTGTAGCGTGCGCGCGTCGTTGGCTCTGCGTCTGGGGCTTTCGCTAGACGTCGGCCACTCGTGCAAACCGTGCACGTTTGCGACGAGCGCGTGTACACGTACGGTGCGCGGTTGCGTTTCGACCAGATATTCCATCGTTCCGCATCGTACATGGAACATGGAAAACGACGAGAGCAATTTGGCTATCGACGGCAACGGGAACGGGCACGGACAAAATTTTGCCATGTTATTTAATTACAGACCCGGGGGAGGAAGCGCATTGTTTTTCTCCCCCATAGGAAGGTAAAAAATGCACCGCCTGCTTCGACACCTGTAGTATATATTTTTCACCGTATTGCCAAGTTCGCAAGGAGTAGAAGCAAACATCTTTCGTTCTCAGATAATGGCCTATATATCGACTTGCTCTTCAGTGCTGGATCTTGCCTCCAAAACTATCCAGTTTGCTCCGAAAGGGAATAATCCCAAATCTTCTCCCGCAACACAGTACACCGGTACACCACCAAAGAGAGTGTACACTGTCGTTGATGCGGAGGGTTCAGTCCAAAACGTCGGCAGAGCGGAAGCCACAAAATCTTCCCTGCAATCCGTCGTGCCAGAAGCGCAGATTCAGACTTCACAAAGAACAAGAATGCGTCCCCAATTAAGCCACTCATCCTTTGTCACGACTCAGGAGTCACGACAATTTAAGTAGGAAAACGGATTCCCTTGTTGACAGCACATGAGCCACTAGGTCGATCAATTCACATCATCAGCAACGACACTCATTCTATCCTTGGAAAGGAATTCTGCCAGTTCAAAGAGACAAGCATGCAAATCCTTAACATGTTGCAGGTAGGCACAGCACCAGCAACTACCAACTAATTAATCAGCCAACCAAACACAGGCAACCACCGGTGGAGGGGTAGGCACAGTAGCGCGCAGGTGTCAGCCCATGGGCTGACGCCGCGGTATCATCTGCTATTGTAGAGAGCGGCGGCGTAGGCACGGTCCCCGCGGTAATCCTCGACGAGGGTAGGTGCCCGGTGCACCGCGCGGCACATGGCGACAGCGCTATATTCAAATCCGCCTAGACGGCGCAGCGTCCAGGCGTCCCGGCCGCGGCCGGTCGGCGTCAAATATCCACGCGACGGCGACGGGGATCGACTAGTCGAATCCCCGGCTGGCCGGCTCCCCATCATTCCCGATAGTTAATCAATCCCCTAATCTCCGCGTCACGTTGCTGCGTGTTACTAGGTGGTTTAATTAGCCGGTTAACTACCGGGGGATTCCATAATTAGGTAGCGATTAGACAATCCTTTAATTGTTATCCTCTCGACATTCCTAACGGTGGCTGATCATCCTTGATCAAGTTGCAGACAAAGAGGCCACAGGCCAGGGACAATCTAGCATATTGGGCTGGTATACCCTGGATAGCGAACGGGAAAATTTATCGACGAGATTCTCTGCCGCTGCTAATCCATGCCTATGAGCTTCAAGCACGGATCGACGAAACTGAAGATGCCGTATTTTACAAGACGATTTTCTGTTGCCACCGTGGTCTCCAGAGTTCAGGTCCCTGTACAGCAATAGTTCCAAACACAGGTCCCTGTTACCCTATACAACAATCGTCCCAAACACATGCCATTTCGCGTGGGTGTTTTGTTACACTAGTTAGGTGTCGGTGCGTTGCAACGGACAAAAACATATATCAATTTTAAATTACACCACGTGAAATTATGTTAATAATCATTGCGTGCAATTTTGTTGTAACAAAAACCTTAATATAAAATGAACAATTTTATATCACTTTTGGTTTCTTCTGTCTGGGGATTTATATTTACCTCTTTTAGTTCTCGGAGCGCGGAAGATTGTTCTAAAGGAAGGAACTACAACCAGGAAATAGTGAAATTAATCATAATTTGAAACACAATATTTTCACGTTGCCATTCAACAAAATCAGCAGTGCTGCTCTAATCGAACCTTCACATTCTAGGAGTACACGCACGCTTTTCCAATTAACATTTACTCCCTCCGTCCTAAAATAAAATATAAGAAGTTTTAGAGTTGAATATGATTATTAAGAAAGTAGGTAGAAGTAAGTGGTGGAGGGTTGTAATTGGATGAGTAGTGGAGGTAGGTGGGAAAAGTGAATAGTGAAGGTTTGTAATTGTTTGGGAAGAGAAAGTTGATGGAGAAGTTATGATATTTTGGAACAGGTCACGTTTGTTTAACGGTAGTTCCGAGTTCCTCAAAAATTTGAGGATGGAAAACTTTTAGTAAAGTGGCATATACAGGCTCATAAGAAACATACCTAGCTTTTTTTTTTGTCTTCTTATAACTAGAAAAAATAAAGTGTATGACACCCATAGTAGAAAAATAAAGTGCTGGACCTCCGTGTCGACGAGTTCGATTGCTGAACCGGAAAGACTATATGTCTTAAATAGTTGCCTTGGTGGTGAGGTTGATGTGCTTTCATGCCATCGGCCAGGGATCGATCCCTATGCACCGCACCATTTTCTCCTTTTAGGCATTAAATTGCAATTGGGCCACAACAATCCAAGTGGGCCTTACAAGGCCAGCCCATCTGCCTCTTGAACCGCCGGTTCAAAATAGCCCGCGTCACCGGTTTTCGTTCATCCGGTTTGTACCGGTTCAACTGCATGTGTGGTCTTTGAGTTAAACCGAACCGATGAGGGTGCTGGTTCTGGCTTTTTTCCGGTTCAACCGCCGGTCTGGTTCGGTTTTTTTACTAAGATGACACCTACACGGCGGTAGGAATTGGATTGCTATCTGCTATGATCACCACCTGTGAAAGAAATGTAGTGTAAACCACTTAGCGAAATGGTTCATAGGTGAACTTAACAACACATTCAACAGAAGTGCACATGTGAAAGTGAAACATCTAACGCATGAGTAAAAATTTCAGACATTATACAGTATAGTATTTTAAGCACAATAAATATTTTAAAACAATATGTGACTTTCCATGTTGTATCAATAGTAGCGGCATCAGAAATAAAACACCTAAGAGCATAATGAGCAGGAGATGCTTCCAGGTTGAAGCACTCCCTTTCCTAAACCACATATTAGATCCTTCCCAATCCTGGTAATCATGGACGAACATAAAATCAAAATTCCATAACGACAGCGCCTCATCAACCCAGAAATCTCCATGATAATTTGCACTTGGAAGATGATAGTATTATGGCAATCCACAATATCAGCACTTGAACCATAATATGAAAAAAAATATTTTAAGTGCAGTGTTATCCTGTGCTATACTGCACTTAAATATGGAAAAAGAAATAGCAGAACCAACCAACCAACAAATCCATATATTTTCTTGTTTGCTATCGTCTTCCTGCTCAATCTAGAGATCTCATTTTCAGTTTTGACAAGTAAAACTAAAAAAAAACATATCATGTAATGTTACGTGAACAAATAATACCCTATTGGCATTTCATCGAGCAGTACAAGAGGATGGGCACGAAGATACCTGTCCGGAGTAGTCAGGGCGGCGGGGTGGCGCCTGACGATGGTGAGGAGGAGGGATGACGTCGG